GTCCAGTTGTCAACGAAATCCTTCGGAGAAGCAAAAGGAACATCTGACAGACCTCTCTTTACTTCCACCGCAACATGCACGGTGTAGCCAAGTCAACTTCCAAGGTGAGATGTAGTCGGACTGAGTTGGTTGGAGCAGGTTCGAGACGAAAGGAGCAAAAGGAGGCGAGTCAAACATTCTGATCCACCGTACGGTGACTACTGCGAAGCACAAGTGACTCGACTTAAGCAAGCAGGCCTTGGCAGGCTTCCGAGGCTACGATTCAGAAGCATCTTCCATTTTTCTATCTGTGCTTCTCCAACCGGCCACTGCGGGCTCTACAGAGTACATATTGATGCCTCAAATTTGCGCGCCTTCCATTGCTGCTGTGGTGACTTCGAATAACCTGACCATGCTCAGTAGATGCATTGAAAGCTTCTGCAGAGCCATGTTGACACAAACCATCTCGCATGTGTCTCGTGGTGATCGTATCTTTATTGTGGCGGATGCTATTCCAGAAGCCCAGGTAACTGTATTTCGGCTTGATATTGGGCTGATAGATATTAGGGGCAAGCTACTTCATGGATAGATCGACGGGCAGAGGCCGGTGTTGCTCCTGCTTGATGTTGTTCATTGCTCTTTCTATCATCATCCCCTTCCTCCGTAGTTGGACATGTCTGACTCTGTCTTCCATCATGCCAAAGTCATTGGCACTTGACCATATCAATCTCTGTCTTCCCACTTGACGCTCCGGCTACTTTCCAAGCTGTTTCATGGCACAGAAGTTACGAAGTCTACATTTCTTCACAATTTCATTTCGTCGGTGTGACCAGCTTTTTACTGCTCTCGAGCATGCGTGCCTTGAAGCGCCTCCTCTCACCTGTCCTTTGCTGCTTTGGCATGCGTGCTTCTGAAGACCACACAACTTCTGACCTTCAGACCCTGCCTTCGGCCCTGTCAGTGCCATTATCCGCTTCGCAGATTCCGCACGCCGTCAGTCAACCAGGTTCAAACACGGCAGACACAGAAGCCCTCCGCGAATTGTTCCGATCTTCATCTTCAGTCCGCGGCTACAGAACTGCCTCTCTGCCGTCAGGCTCGAATCTTCGAAGAGAACCGTCGTTGGACACTGATTTCAAATTTGGGTCGCAAGGGCAACAGCGGAAACAGCCCAGTCGATTAGAACAATTGGGCAGTCACATTAAGCAGAAGCTTTCGGAATCAAGATTGAGCAAAAGCAGCTCGAGGCCCCGTATAGCATACGAAGACGCTCCTGGTGATTCGGCAAGACATGACAATGCACAATTGGGAATGAGTGCCCTAGAGGCAACCCTGAGCCAGCGATCTACTGGTCTCCTCGAACTTCTCATGTCGCGGACTGCAAGCGAGGGCGGTTATGACAGCGACGCAAAAAGTATCCAGACAGCCATGTTGAAGGCGAGTGATGGGACAAAGAATCGGAGTCCACGAAGGCTGCTGAGTCTATCTTCGCCTGCCGACGTTCGACATATTGCCACCGACGGCGCTCCGCCGTCCCCTGTAAGCATTCAAGCTCATGAAGTCCCTCAACCCGAAGCCGATCACGCGAAGCCTCTTTCCGATCCCTTGAAACTCTTCACAAAAGTTGCGTTGGCCGAAAAAGACGAGTCACCTATAGAAGTCCTGAACTGTCTCAGCGGTCGAGTTGCAGATGGTAATATCGAGCTCGCAGGTGCATCCGAATCCAAGGCAAACCCTGCTTTGGCCGCCTGTGATTCGAAAGAGCATGATCCCTTTACTAGTTCTCCCTCAAAAGATTATGCATTATCTGGACGCGATAATACAGAATTTACTGACTTGCTCAAGAAGCTGGGGGATTCTGTTGCCGTTGCCAAAAGGCAGAGTCTCATGTCCAATGTGACTGGTCCACGAGCCAGTTTGGTGTCCGACCTGGATCCGAATTTGCTCGATTTCATCTCCAAATACGGCGAGCGGCCCTCGGTTGACATTGCGGCAAGAGCCTCTGATGATAACGCCGCTGCATCTGTGGCCGAATCGAATTCGATTGCCATGGCTGGTCCGGAGTCTGCCAACGCTGTGATGCCGGGACGAGAGGCCATATCCAAGAAGGATCTTTCTTCGCTCGCCGGATCTGACAGAAGCTCGCTCCATCTGTACAATATGCGAATCTCTCAACGCCTCGCCAGCCCGTCCTTCGTTGCTGCTTCTTCCAGACCGAACACTAGCCACACAACGATCCGGGTACTAAGAGAAAATTCGCCAGACCGGCGTCTCTCAATCAGTCAGACATCCGTGGCAGGGAAGAACGGGCGCCTTACTACAACTGAGCACAATAGAAGACCATCGGATCCTGAAACTAGACGACTCTTTGAAGGTGACATAGCTATACAACAAGCGAGCTCCCGTCGGAGACCTGGGACTTCACCGGACCACGTCCCTGCCTTCGGAAAGCCCAAGCCGTTCACAAGCACTGAAGATGCCTCATCATTCTACTGGAGTGACGGTGAATTAGACGACGTTGAACCCTCTAGGCAAAGCACGCGTAAGAGAAATCCAAATAGCATTGCAATTGGCGGGAGATCAGAGTCCATCAGCCTACCTATCGGCTCTTCCAGTGCCAGCATCGGCAACCTATCGGTTGCAGAAGAGAGTGCCTGGTTCAGCAGAAAGCCTTCACAACAGAAGCAAGTGATTGAACAAGACAGTCGACTCCACCGGTCTGCGAAGAGGAATAGGAGTATTAGTATGCCAGATCGGAACAATGTTGGTTCTTGCGCATATCTAGTCCTTCCCTCCCGGCACCTTCAACACTCGACCGAGGCCGATGAGACATTGAGTGAAATCAGTGCTGATCAGCTACAAGCTGCTAGAAAAGAAAAACTGACCGAGACCAGTGCCCAAGCAATTTGTGACAAACATAATGAAAGAATGAGCGAAATTGAATCCCCAGACCATGGCTATGCCATTGCAGCTCGGCCAGGTTCGTGTAGCCACCGATCGGTTGTCACGCCTGACACGAGACAATCACTCCCCTTTTCAAGAATTTCTGCTGTTGGACGGTGTTCGAAATCAGGAGATGACGATGCGGCAAGATCGATCTACAATGGTTCCAGCAAGTTCCAAGAGTCTGCCACGGATATTTGGCACAGATCTTTCAAACAAGCTCTGGAAGAACCTGAAAATGACTCACTGGGAGGTTTTCTCACGTCGCCACGGTTTGACCGCGACGGCAGGCGGAGAAGCACCAGGTCAAGCGTCAGTGCGGTACAGATGTCTCATCAAGGTCACCGCAACTCAGACGTAGACTTTGATTTAGATCCACTGCAAGAGACCCAAGCCCTGAATGAATCATCTGGGCTCGAGGATAAGCCTCATATTCAGGTCTGCATGAAGAAACCTGATCCGCTGCCGACTGTTAACCCTAGACGCAGCATTACCACTATTGATACAGGGAAGGAGACACCTAACGCCTTGGCGGCGAAGAAGACTTCCAGGAAAAAGAGTATATTGGACATTGGACGACGATTCACAGTCATTGGAGCCTCTAGCGAAAGTGAGCCGGCCTCCGGGGCCAGCACTCCACCGAAGGATCTCTTCAGTCTCTGGGGACGATTCCCTAGCCACACGAGAGAGGAGAGATGTGGCTCGGCTGGGCCAAAAGACGGGGTGGCCGTACGAGACTTTGCTCTCAACTATCAGGACGAGAATACTCCATCCTCAACCCTCCGGATGCTGTGGGCCAGACCCACAACGGCACGAGGTCTTCACACTCCTGGATCTTGGAGGATGCTGCAATTCGGTAAGAAAGACAATGGTGGGAATGCACAAAGCAAAAACATACGAGCTACACTGTCCCTGGGTGCGCGGTACAAAAAGAGCCGGAAAGGACTCTCCGGGCGATGGAGAAGGCTCTATCGCAGCAGCAGCACTGAGTTCAGAGCGTACGCGCACACTCATGGACATCGGAGTAGCATAAGCGTGGGTGCGAGCGTCGAGTATCCAGAGCTTGAAGTGATCCCTGGTAGTGAATGGCAAGCAGATGTGAATGGATCCGCAGAAATCGGCCACCTCCATGAGCACCAAGCGGTGAATCATTTGCAGGATCGCCCCGTAGAACCGCTGGATACTCAGCCTTGGACTCGCATGTATCGAGATTGTGTTGGGAGCCTCTCGAACCTGAAAAGCGACCCCGAACTGGGAGGGGGGGATCTCACCACAGGGCCCGATCGATTGAACGACCGACATTTCACCAACGACAGCCTGCAAAATGAAGAGTTGAGGGACAGCACGGTCGATTTCGAATACCGACTTGGAAAGGAGCACGAGGCAGTCCAAAAGGGCCTCATCCACCAGATCGAGGGTATAGGCCAGAGCGAGGAGCAATTGGATGTCAACGCAAGAGCCTGAGTTGAGGGATGATTAAGCACGAATGGGTCATGCCCTTCAGCATAGGTAATGAGTATGTGTCAGTCCACTGTATGGTACATAGGGAGTTATGGGAGAGTACGGTATGGTGACTGTCGGCAGTAGAGAAAGCAGAGATACAAAAGTATCAGCAAGCAGAGTTGAAATTCTTGTCATTTCTTTTTCATTTTTGGCTATGGAACGGCACCTATTGCATCGCATCATGTCATCGTTATCGTCGATGACTAGTATTTTGCATTTTCGTACGAAAGCACTTCATATCCATCCCATAGCAATCCATGCATGCATGAGATATCCTGAATCGACTGTGACGTTGAAACTGTGAAGGTGAGACTCTGATTCCGACTGACTGACCCTGGAATCCACCACGTGTATTCTGAATGGAGAGGAACGGTGACGACCGTCACAATAACAATCACGACCATGAGAAGCCGCAAACAAGTAAGATTATAGAGGCGTCTTGTCCTCTATGCATGTTTCCTTCCTTCCAACCATCCATCACCCGAAGTGGCATTCAACAAGTCTCGATCTCGAATCAAGTCACCATCAGAACCGTCCATAACACCCCACGCCACGTCAGAGCACGTCACGTCACGTCACAAGACGAACCAGGCTCCGACGGTCAGAAGCAACAAGGCAGTCAAGGTGTGCACGGTGAGACGAGTTACCGAGGATGATGTCGTGACGGAGGACGTGGTGATACCACTAGTGGCGGATGTCTGTGTGGCGTGGTGGCTGCTCATGCTGCTTAAGAAGCTTGTCACCGTGGGGTGCAAGGTTGTGTTGCTGATTGCTGCTGTGTTCGCAACGGTAATGGGAGATGTGATGTTGGGGAATGGCACAACGGTGGCACCAGTGGTTTGGACAGTAGGGAAAACTGTGGCGTTTGCCAAAGACACGGTAACGTATCCGACAAGAGAGGCTGAAGTCATCTCAACACCGATACCAGTTCCAGTTGGAGTTCCAGGACCCGCGGCAGGACCAGTTGCACCAGTGGTAGTGATCGTAAAGTTGGCAGGATGCGCAGTAGGAATGTGTGTTGTTGTGGTCGCTGTCACGGTCGACGTTCTCTGCACCGTCGTGGTCAACCAGATGGTAGAGTTTGCTGCGGCTGTCAACGTGCTGGTCTCATTGGCGTGTGCGGTGCAGTTGCATGGCACGGTCGAGACGGAAACTGAGATGGATAGTGAGACTCCAGGGATGGTGGTAGCCATGATAGGTGCAGGCGGGGCAGTTTCTGGTCCAGGCTGCGGGAGTTTATACATTGCTCTGGCAAAGATCTTTATCTTGACCAAGTCGGCGACCAAGAGGAAGCGAGTGAACAGATGAAAAGCACCGGGGACCTGCAGGGAGGATGCTGCACCGGTCATGGTTGGAGTGTACACCGAGACTGACGACATGGCTGGAGACGTGGATGCCGATGTGGACACAACAGGAAGCGACAACGACACATTGCTCGCTATGGTAAAAGTGCTGGCGTTCTGGCTGTCGGTAGGCGAGACAACAGAGAGGACGGGCACACCAAAGGGCTTTGTAGAAGGAAAGAATGTGGTGGCTGATTCCTTGCTTGCAATGGTGTCGCTGGTATTGAAATGGTTGATAGCAGTCACAGATGGCTCAACTGTGGAAGTTGTAGTTGCAGTGAAGTGCAACGGGACAGTCACTGTGAATGTCATTACCCCACTGGTCGCACTCTCTGTTGCTTGAACGGTTGTGTAGACTGTCGTGGTTGTTGTACCTGCGCTTGTAGTCTTGCTAGCGATTTCTGATGTGGCCACGCTGAGGATAGAGGAAGCAGCGCTAAGAACGGACTCAAGAGGTGTGGTAGTAAATGAGGTAGTGACAGTCTTGGTTTCAATCACTGAGGTCGCATCGCCGAGAAGGGGGGACGCAGCGCTCAACACCGAGTTGACTGGTTGGACGGTGGAAGTGGTAGTTGTTGTAGCGAGCACTGGCGTGGCATTGTCTGCGGTGGAATTGATGCCACTAACAGTAGTGGAACTTTTAGAGAGTGTAACTGTAGTTAAGATTGTGGTGGTGCTAGTGCTCGTGCTGCCGCCAGTATGGCCTCCGGTGATGCTGTCGATGATAGATGTTGCGACACTCAGGGCAGACGATAGCGGTGGGGTGGAGAAGAGGAAGCTTGTCTCGAAAGTCCCACTGACGAAGAATGGCCTCGAAGTGTTCACAACAGTCGTGGGCAAAGCAACGGAGGTAATGGTGTCGAAGTGTGCAGTGCTGGTCACTGTGACAGTGAGGAGGGAAGTCAGATTGTGTGTCGAAAGTTCAGTGACTGAGATGAGGGTGCCAGATGGACTGGGAGTAAGGATGGGGAATGTCAGAGTCAGAGAGCCGGGGACAGATGCTGCTCATCGGTATGAGTATGTGACAGAAAGTCGACATTGCAGTTGCGTAACTTTGGCTTACTTACCACGAGTGATGTTCGCGAAAGGAGGCCTAGGGATGGCAGGGCCAGTAGCGGAGATGGCGCTGTTGACTGTTGCTTTTGTGAGTTTCCTGCCCCTGACGCGACTTGGTGTGTCCTTTGTTAACTTACCATCAGACGTGATCTTGGTAGTGCTTGTGACTGTCGTGGCAGAACCGGACCCAGCAGAACCAATAACTGCGCAAAAATCAGCAGAGGGCCTTGGGGAATTTGGGACGGTTAGAAGCGACATACCTGAAGTAGATTGAGAGCTGGTCTCATTTCCGACAGGGATGGTGTCTGTGACAGTTGTTGTGGTCGCAGCAACTCCAGGGAAGATGGTGCCAGTGACGTGGGTGAAATTGAAGCCATCCCAGCCCTCAGTCACGGTGACGGTGGGTGGTCCAGAGATCAAGGAGACGGTTTCCGTGATAGTCTTGACGAGTGAGACAGTGGCAGTCATGTTTCCATTACAAGCCTGAGCATCAACGATGGTAAGAAAGACGGCGAGGGCGTAAGAGAGGACGAACACGATCGCGTCCCAGGTAGTAGTGGTCGCCATGACGGAGGGGACCTTTGAACGAGTGTGAGTGTGTAGAGAACGAGTGTAGGACGGTGACCGGACGAAAAGGTGATGGGTTGGAGAGAGGATTTTGGATGAAATTGAAACACCGCAAACTCGCGGAATGTGGGTTTGTATAGCCGGCGGCAGCGACTTCACGGCCTCACCTTGGCGCGAATATGATTTAGCATTCGGACCACCTGCTTTTCCTGGATGGTTGACATGCATTCACGTCTTCGGGGAAAATAGACGCCCTTCCCATCCGTCTCCTTTCATCAGACAGCAGAATCAAAAAGCCTTCAAGCTCTCTGTGCAAGGGCGTGTATTGAGGCTCCTGGATATGTAAGTTGTGCAACCCCCTGAACTTGACAGCCTTGTCCTGAACGTGATGGGACACATTCGCAAGAGGCATCTCCCCAACATTCTGCAGATCAGACTTGCGAAGAACAGGATGGGGACTGTTTGAACTGGAGAGGTTCATCGATCCCTATCAGAGCAAAGCCCAACGAACAAACCCATCATATCTTTGAACTTAGGTTTGCATATGCCATGTATTCATACACTGACTTGGTTTTGGTAGGCTTGCAAGCGACTAACTCGGGATAGACTCACCGTTGATCCTGGGTTTGCCCTTACGCCTGGGGACGTTATGTATGAATATCCAGGTTCAGAGTTGATATGTCGGCAAGTCGCAGCATTGAGCCACCTTCATGAAAAGAGCAAGGGAGCGTCTCTTGACCGTCCATTTGTCTCTGTCTTGAATGGCTTTTCTCGATTGCATAAAGACAATCAATCGCCTGGGCGTCTGTGCAGCTAAATCTCTGGGTCTAGGTCTGGGTCTGTGTGTTCACCAGAGAGCTCGATTACGAGTCCGGAGTCTTTATACTGTCTCTTTTCAGTCCAACAAGGGCTCACTCTCGGGGAGAATTCGTCTTGCCTGGCTTGCTTGAGACCAATGAGCTCTCTATTGTGAGGTGTTTGATAGTTGGGCCCCTTCATACCATTGTCTAAATTGTTTCTATCGCCAGGCGTCTAGGACGCCGGAACATCCACTGGCGGCAGACAACAAGCTCACAAGCTAATGAGCTGATGACCAAGTCTGAGAGGTGATTGTCACTGAGGAAGGCGGGAAGAAAAGAATGAGCCAGCGGATGGTAAGGAGGTCAAGGGCGCGAACAGCGCGGCTGGAAATTCCAAGGCCCTGCCTTGCCCCGCCAAGGCAGCCAAGACATTATTACACCGGCGCCACTTTTCCTCGTTGGGCAGCGGCAAGAATTTCATCCCATGTTCTACGTCGTCCTTGAACCGCCAATGTCATCCAGAACGAGTGACATTCAAGTCATTGTCCCAGTCTGTACGGACGATTGGTCAAAGGCATCACTGGCGGCGTGGTGGCTCGACTCATGGTAGGAGTTGCGAAAGATGATTGATTGATTGATCTGAGAGCAGCCCTCCGAACTCCTCCAGTCGATATCGCGCGTGCCAGAACCAAGTCAGAAGAATCAGGTGCAAAATGTCGTCTCACGATCATCATCATCATCACGATGACTACGATCACGGCCATGGCCATGGTGGCGGTCACGAACACGATCATTCTCATGACCTCGAACCAGCTCTGCAATCAAATCTCTACCAGCGAATCAACTTCGAAGGCATCATTACCCTCAACGAGGCTGAACCGCGTTCAGGAGCCGGAATCGTGCAAAAGACTTGGGATGAGCGTCTGAATGAGCAGCCGACTCTCGAAAGCGATGCAGACGAGCAGCTGCTGATGCATGTGCCCTTTGCTGGGTCGTGCAAGCTCTACTCCATCGTTGTCCGCACATCAGATTCCGACTCGGCGCCGCAGACGCTCAAACTCTTCCGTAATAGAGATGATATGGATTTCAACCTCGCATCCGACCTGAAGCCCACTCAGAAGCTGACCATCCCTAAAAGCAACGACGTGACCGAGATGCCCTTGAACCGGGCTCTTTGGAACGGCACCACTTCGATCAACCTCTTCTTTGAGGACAACCATTCGGGCGGGGAGGAGGATGTGACTCGGGTCAGCTACCTAGGGTTCAAGGGAGATTTCATGGCACTCAACCGCGAACCAGTTCATGTGCTGTACGAGGCAGCGGCAAATCCCCGAGATCATAAGCTGATCCAGGGGTTGACCAACACCAACCAGTCCATGCCAGGCCAGTGAGAGCGCCAACTAGGTCTGAAACTGAAAGTCCTCAGGAGGCTCAAAAGCACATGTTATACCAGACGCTCAAATGCATCACAAAGTGTATTACCATGACCAAAATCATAAAATGTACCTGAATCATGAAGCTTCCAAGGCCACTCTTCTCTGCCGGGCCCTTTCTTTCTGCTTTTGTATCCTCTCCTGTTCCAACTCCAGCTCTGTCTTGGGCACTTCTGGTAGAGTTCCCTCGCTCAATATCGTCTTGTTTGGAGCGTCAGGGAGGCCGACAACCTCCCTTTCCATAGCTTCCAACTCGTCTTCCACCTCGTCTTCATCCTCATTCGACATCTGGCCCGCCAACGCCTCGCTGATCTCCTGCTGATAGCGCCTTGCCTCCTCTGTCTCACCCATCATCTTCTCCACGCCTTCCAACCCGCCCATCTCCTTGTGGATCATGTTCAAGACCTGTGTCCCCTGTTGCAAGCCAAACAGCACGTCCTTTTGCACCAGTGCAAACTCGACGCTGCTAGTCAGTTTCTCCAACTGCTCCAGCTGCGCGTCCGTCTTGGAGAGGAGCGACTCTTGGTACTTCTTCCGGCGCAGGGCGAGGAGGGCTTTGGCCTTGTCCCCCTTGATGAGGCATTCCTTTGCGATCTCGGTCTCGCGCGTGGTGACGATGGTGATTCGTTTCTGGTATTGGCGCAGTTTGTCCCGCTGGTTTTTCATGTCCAGAATAGCCCTGGAGGAGAGGAAACACGACCAATTAGAATTGTGGGACAAGGGAAGAAGAAGATGTGTAATGGGCGCCCGCTCAATCCCCAACGGATCGACTGATCAACTTTACCTGTCCTGCGCCGAGATTTTATGGGCGCTTTGAGAGTTTCCCATGGCTGCTGCATGGCCGCCCTGCGCCACGCAAGTTAATCTGGCTGGCAAGGTCGAGTCACTTTTGAGACAATCGCTAAGACATGGTAGCTGTTGAGATGTGAGAACGGGCACCAGCTCGCTGTGATCTCTCGGCAGCGGAACTACGTAATTCCCACAGACTGCCTGTTTCGGTTAGCGTACTGCGGGCAACAACTACACATGTCACTGCTTGACATCTGCGATTCCTTCCCTCAGCAAACCACGAAAAATGATAGGAGAAGCACTGTCCGAACTACGCAAGATGCAAATCCCACCCACGCGAAGAACAAACTCCTATGGACTATCCATCAGCAAAACAAGAAAAGAGGAAAAGAACAAAAGCTGGGCCATTCTAGGGTTTGATGGTGGACATTTTGTATCATCTTGAGCTTGAATCAACGAGCGCACAACATCTCGGTCGAATGTATTCACGTGTGTACGAACGTCGAGTGAGGTTTCAATATGACGCCACAAACACCGCCACCCACAAGCGATAGAGTAGCGGCTACTGGTGGTGGTGGTGATGCTGCTTCTGTTGCTGCTCGCCTAGTTCGAGACGATCCCGAGAAGAATCCAAACTCGCTCCACGACTTCCACACAGTAAAACGAGGGCCCAAGAACGTCCCAGCAGTCGTGATGCCCACCCCCACGTCAAGCACTGAGGAAAGAAAACGCCCCAAGAATCCAGGGCACTCCTACGCGCACACGGAACATGTAAGGTTCGACTACTTCAATCAGCGGGCTTCGAATGCCCCCTTCGGATACGAGCACTTCGTCTCGCTCCCTCCGTCATACGCCGAAGACTCGGCCAAGGCGTGGCCATTGGTTCTCTTCCTGCACGGCGCCGGAGAGTCTCAGCGCGGTAGGTAAGGGATCCTTCACTTCCATACGCCACGGCGTGCCCAAGGTCATCCTTTGCTACGACAAGCTGAGAACCGATCCGGCGAATGAAATTCCCTCCATTAACGTCCCCCTGGCCCCTCGGCTGCGACGAAGAAGCAAGCAGACAACACAGCACCACCGAGCCCGTGCCAAAGGAGACCTCTGAACTGTTGGCAGGGAACTTCATCACGGTCACGCCGTCGTTGAACATGGGCAATGGCTACGGGTGGAACGCGGCCATCTTGTCGGCCCCGTTAGACGAGATCGTCGATCGCTACCGCGTCGACCCGGATAGGATTCATGTCACAGGCTTCAGCATGGGTGGATATGGCACGTGGGATCTGGCTATGCATTCGCCGCGTCAGTTCGCGACGCTAGTTCCAATTTGCGGTGGAGGGGATCACTTGCGGGTGAGTCATATCAAGCATGTGCCGCACTGGTGAGTTCTAGGACGTTATCCGTGTTCTCCCCCCTAAACTGCTAATGGTAATCATATAGGGTCTTCCATGGCGATTGAGACGACATTATCCCAGTGCAGATATCGATTCAAATGGTCAACGCGTTGGATAACGTAAATGTCAAGGAAGTCAACTTCAGAAGATACCCAGATCTCATGCACGATAGCTGGACTCCAATGTACAGCAATCCCGATTTGTATCGATGGATGCTGGCTCACAAGAGGGCAATCATGGGAGACGAGGGAGGCGTCCCGACCGAGAATAAAGTCACTTTATGCCAAAAATGAGCAGAAGACATTTGACGGGACTCATTTTGCATTTCCAAACCATTTGCCAACACACGCCGTCTTCCCCCCTCCCTGTGCCCGTCCACCGCCAGCTTCATCAAAATTTTTCCATTCTGTATCATCTTAACGCCCTGAATCAATCCCATCCAGCAACCTGACGTCCAACTCGCCCCTCCTTTCGTGCGCGCAGAAATCGGCCCACTCAGTAATAATACCTTGGTGGCCTGTAGATATTATTGACGACGACTCGATTGTTGGCGAGAGCACGGGCGAAGGCAGTGGCGTTGTTTCGGTTGAATTGATTGATACCTCTCCGGTATCTGTAGTCGCCGCTGTCGTCGGACCTGAAGATTCATCCAGACAAAGGACGCCAATTAGCTCTGCTGCGCCAACAACGACCACTGATTTTGCCTTCAACATGGGTATATTCTTACCAATAATCGGGATCGGAGTCATAGTCCCATGGCGCAGGCCGTGGATGTGGACGTTGGGGGCGGCGTTGGTATGGAGGGACATGGAATGTCGCGCTGATGCCATGCCCGAGATAGATGGCTTCGCCGTCACGTCTGCGCCCATGCCCGCGTCCACGAGCGCGCGTGAAGAGGAGCGGCTCGTGCCAGCCGTCGGGATGGTACCGCCAGATCTCCATGATTTCACTGTTCTGAGACTGTCGAAGGCGGTTCTGCTGGGCTCGGTGGTGTTTTCTCCCCCCCTTGACAGAGTCGAGAGAATATCTACGGCGTACTTGTATGCCTTGAAATTGCTGCAATAGTACACTTATTGCTCGTACCCCAGGGGGATGCAGGGGCCTTTGTATCTAGAAAATGATGGGGAAAACCAAAGGACAATCAAACGTCAAAGTCAATCAAAACAATGGGGCAGTTTGCCAACCATCTTTTCTTGGTGGCCCAGGATGTTGAAATAAACGCAGGAGCAGCAGCACAAAGATCAATGTGCTTCATTCGCGCATTTTCCTTTTTCATACGCCCTGACGAAGGGGCGTTTGGCCCATGCATGCAGGGGATTTGAATGCCCATTATGGCGCATGTTGTTTGCTGGCGCCTTTGGTGCAACACATGGGCCACTTTCAGGTTGTACGAAGAGGGGCTGGGTTCAAAAAGAGTGGAATATTCTCTTGCCTTTGGCGGTAATTGGTGCGTATCTCGATATCGCGGAGACGAAAAGAGGCAATGCTTAGCTTCAGCTCTAGGCAGACAGTGGCGGGAAGACAGAGCATTGAGCAACAACGCGTGGCCTCTAATCGCAGTCAAGCGAGGGGCATCAAAAGTCACCATGATAATGTGGTCTTTCAGGTAAGGCAGGCAGTGTATTTTGGTACCACATGGGACAACTCGATCTCTTTGTACTGGTCCTTGGAATCTCCGTGAAGGGAAAAAGGAAAAGATCAAACACGAGGTACAATTACCACCATTACCCTCAACTAGAGCATGACGTCACTACCTTGGCTGTTTTTATTTCACTGCACACTGCCGCTCGTTGTGGCCGAGAAGGAAAAAAACTAACAACCAAGTCAGAAAAACAAAAAGTCAACCTAGTACCAAGTACATGTTGAAGAAGAAAAAAGAAGAATAAAATAGAAGACTTCTTCAAGATCGACACCAGTCGGATTTGAACCGACGCCTCCGAAGAGATGTGATAACTGGAATAAATTCTAGTCACACGCCTTAACCGCTCGGCCATAGTGTCTATGAAAATTAGACAAGCTAACTGACAACAAATTCCGGCATCATAATTCATATGTTACGTAAAACTCCTGCCGATAATTGGCCCCTTTACGGAGGCCTAGAGGTTCTTGGTTGGCGGATTGGCTCACCACCACTTCCCCCCAAGACTCACATGAATTCTTGGTGCCCTCACCCTACGTCTCTACGCAATCAGACATCTCCTATACTGTCACTCCTAGATGTATACTCTCCCTTCGCTCGAGGCAGGACTTATGGGTGCATAGTGGTGATACCTTTAGAGGTGCCTTTGACAGCGCCCAGCGCAGACGTCGAACAAGGTTCCAATTTATCTACCCGGCGTGCCCAAAGTACATGTCTGAAACAACAGGCGTGATATATTTGAGAGCTATTTCTTGAATGATATCGCCTTGTTTGGCCGTCCTTCGCTGGGACGGATCCAACACTTTCACCATGGATATCGGGTCTCTGCCGAGGTGAAAGTCGCATGTTGACCATTCTTGTCTGTGTCCACGACCAATCGACATGCCTCGATCGCACCATCAGCAGCCTTGCCGGCATTCTTATTATACCCGTTCAAGTTGGTGGCTCTATGGCCCGGGCAAACCATGTTGACTTTGAAACCTTCCTTTCCCAGTTGAACCGCATACAGGGCCCCGATCATATTCTCTGCGCACTTCGATACTATATATCCCTTGATTTGGGCCGGATTACCCAACCCGTAAAATGGGAAGGTAGGGTCCAAAGTGAGGGTGATGGACCCCAGACCAGACGACATGAAGATGAGTCGAGGAATTTGAGCTTTTCGCAACAGTGGAATAAAAGCTTCCGTGACGCATGCGGCGCTGATCGAGTTGGTTTGAATCACTCGAGTCATATTCTCGCGGAAACTCACGCCGTCGACACGACTGATTCCGGCGTTGTTGAGGAGGACGTCAAGTCGACCAAACTTCTCTTCAACAAGCTTGGCAGCTCTGGCTATGGAGCCGTCGTCATCGACATCGAGCTCGAGGGGTTCAACAGATGTTCCTCGAGCCAGATCTACGATGCTGCGGGTTGATTCTTTTCCTCTGTCCAGGCTTCGAGAGCCGAGCAGGATATGATAATCGACCTGTTCAGCGGCCAGCTTCTTGACGCACTCAAAGCCGATCCCTTGATTTGCACCAGTTATGAGAACGACGGTATGGTCTGGTGAGATTGACGCCATGTTTGGAGGTGGAATTTGGATCTCTGATGGTGACTTTCAGTTCTTTTTCTGCTTTGCTTATAGATAGGTTGATTCTCCTTTGCAGAATATCCGCCCCTTTTGTACTTTGCCCTTCCTCGAATCCCATCGGACTTACCGTACCTTGCGGGCCTTGAGTTTGTCTCTTTTCATCATGACTTCTACTGCAAAATCTCTGCGTCGTTTGGTCTTGACCGAGCCTTGTGTCTCACAGGCGGTACATTAGTTGACACGCGATGGAGAGACTTTTGACCGCGATATGCAGCTAGTGTCTAGTTCGCGAGCGGACCAATCGCCTCTTTCGGGCTTAAGTTGCGGATTTATGTATTAAACGGCATTGCTTACCTACAACTAGGTTTGATGTTTCTCCATGTGGGAACGCAATCCTAAGACTGTCTTCGGTCCAAAAGTCGGACAGGGTTCCAAGGATATCTCTCTGATGTCGAAATCTACTACCAACGCCGTTCGAATTCAGCACCACTATCAAGAAGGGCTTGTCTGGGAGCAGTGCCAGTCGTTCTGTTCACGCATTTAGAAGCGAATGATGGTCCAGGTGTTGGATCTGCCTACTCACGAAACGAAGATCGGCCCACCGAGGCGACGGGGCAAGGCTTGTATTACTTGCAAGTATGTGGTTAGAAACCCCTTCGAAGACTGTCTGATTCACTTATTCGACGAAAAGAATCAGGCGCGTCAAATGTGACTATGGCCAACCATCATGTAACCGGTGTTTGAATACGGGGCGGAAATGCGATGGCTATCCAACTCGTCACGAAAAGGGACAAGATCAGGCCCCCGTGGCCGTGCTGGTGGTAATGAACTCTCCTGTTCCTTCGCAATGTGACCCTGAAGCCTCGATGGCAATTCGGTTCTTCATCCAAGTCTGTGCCCCGGCGATGCTGAACTACGGAAGTTACCACTTTTGGAACGAGCTTGTGCTGCAAGCTTGCCATGTCGACGAGAGTATCAAGCACCTCACCATTGCGGCCTCCCGAATAGGGTCGCATCGACTACTTCAGCCATGCAAGCCACCCTCTAACAAGGATACCGTCTTCCTTGCACACTACGGCAGAGCATTGAAATTGCTCAGTCGAAGCAAGAGCCCTGATCCAGGCTTCTTACTCATCGCATGCCTGCTGCTCGTCCTCTGCGATGAGTTCCAGGATAATTCATTCGCAGCTATCCAGCATCTTATCGCCGGCCGAAAGATCCTCACTGCGTACCGGCCGACAGCGCCGTCGCCCCAGCGCAACGCGACCATTGCAGAACTTGACCAGATCTTCTCCGCGCTGGAGCTGCACACTAGCGAGCTCTATCATATCACTAGACCACAATCCATGTCCTGGTGGTCACCCAGTTCCAGAGCTGAAGCCGTCCGGGCGAACTTCCAAGGTCACCCGCACCTCGACCCAAGGCGGATCTGGCCTCGTATCGAAGAAGAAGCCCGCGCTTTGCAAGACATTGCCTTTGAATGTACGGCGCTGCAACTAGAGGGAGCGCCTCCCCAGACGAGATTCCAGATCGTTCCGGGCCTCACCGCCAAGCTCAACGCCTGGCTGGGTCAGCTTACGACGTTCGAGTCTAGCATGTACGCCCACCTCACATCCGCAATGCTTACGGACCTACACTTGCTCAGGACGTACCACCTCTGCCTCCACACCCTGTCGCGCTGCGACCCGTTCAGGCAGGAGGTGGCATTCGACACGTACGCGGGCAATCTCGAGCACATCGTCGTGAGCTGTGGCCTGCTGATCCGGCGCCGCAAGATCCGCCTCGTGCCCGTCCTGTTTTTCGTGGCCACGCGATACCGCAACGCAAGTTTCCGCCGCAGAGCCATCGACCTGCTCCGCCAGTGCGGGCTGGACGGCCAAATCCTGGCCAAGATCGCCCTGAGGGTCGTCCGGATTGAGGAGAGAGGCCTCAGCGCGCCCATCGTCAGCTCTGATGTCCCCGAAGACAATCGCGTGAGATTGGTTGATGTCGTCTTTGATGGCACCGACACGCGAAAGTATCTTTTGCGGTTCACTCGTCATCCCTACAGCCGGGCTGGTGACGGCGACAGAGTCCCCCTGGAGGAAACCGTCCTGTCGAGCCAGGCGTGCTCTTGGGCCGTTCAACCTCAGACCCCTTCGCATGCGGTGGGTCAGGCCTTTCTTTGATTCTTTCCCCCTTCTTCCTGAATATACTCTGCCTCTATTAATGTGGGGGCGGGCACTTGGATGTGCGCGTTCGTGAGTGTATGCTCTGGCTGACTGATGAAACTTGCTTGCAGACCGGACTGCTCAATGCTGTTCTGAGATTTGACTTTATGGCATTTTGGAACCAGGAGGATCCGGCATTTACCCTCCCGGCAGGGTTTGGTCTATTGTGATTCCAACGGAGATTATATTTGGCCCGAGCTACCCGGTAAAATATTTACCTGTAAACCATCAATTTTTTCTTGGGTTTGCTCCGCGCACGTCTTCCTTGTCTCTATTTCGCTGTCTTCCTTCTACGCCGCCCCACCCATCTCAATCTTCTTCCCCTTGACGCTCTTCCATTCAAAGCCCAGCGAGAACAAAAAAGCGATGCTTGCACACGCGATAGACAGGATGTACGAGTGCGTGACGGCGATGTTGTAGGCGTACAGCACGCCAGCGAGCTGGGAGGGCGGGGTGACCTCGCGGATGTGGGTGGCGCCAGCCATGATGATGGTTTGCGGGTTGACGCCGGTAGTGTAGCGGGGGATTTCCTTGACCAGGGTGTTTGAGAAGATATTCTGGGCGATAGAGATGGAGATGGCGCCGCCCAGTGAATTGAAGAAGATGGCGACGGCGTTGCCGACGGGCATGTCGCGCTTGTTCAGCACCACCTGCACCGCAATGAAGGGGATCTGCACGCACGCGCCCGCTCCGAACCCCGCCAGGATCTGGTACCCGATCCACGTCCCCGTCGACGAGTGCACCTTCAGGCTGTACAGCATGCCCGACCCGACGGCGAAGATGGCCGAGCCGACCCACGTGAACGGCACATAGGGCCCCAATGTGGTGATGCTGGCGCCCACCACGATGGACGAGATGGTGATGCTGACCAGATACGGGATCGTGCGGATCCCGGACTCCTCTGCCGTCGTGCCCTTGACGGCCTGGAAGTAGAACGGCAGGTAGTAGATGTGGGTGTACAGGCCCATGGCGAGGAAGGCGGAGAAGAACGCACAGACAAACACGGTGCGTTGTCGGAGCATGATCCGCGGTGGCAGCGTGGCCAGGTCGCCCTTCCACAGCTGTATACCCGTGAAGACAATTATCAACAGCCCAAAGCCCAGGATGCAGCCCCAGACCTGTGAGTTGGACCACGCGTACGTCACGCCGCCCCATTGCAACGCCAACAAAAGGCAGACGATGGCGCAGATCAGAAAGAACGCGCCGAGAAGGTCGAGCTGGCCGATCTTCTGCCGCAAGGTCAAGTTGCTGTGTCGGCGCTCGGGGTTCTTGAAGAAGAAGAAGACGGCTGTGATGGCGATCGCGCCAATGGGGAGGTTGATGTAGAAACACCAGCGCCACGATACGCCTACGAAGTGTGAGGTAGGTCAGCAACACAATCGCTGTTCGTTAGAGACTGGGTTCCAAATCAGTAGCGAATTGCCCACTCACGGTCGGTGAACGCTCCTCCTAGAATCGGACCGACAACAGATGCAATACCGAACATGGAGCTTAACAGACCGATATAGATCGGCCTCTTCCGCAGGGGTACAGAATAGGCCACAATGGTCATGCCGCCGGAGAATATCGCAGCAGCCCCAACTCCAGCCACGGCCCGGCCCACGATCAGCATGGTCGAGTTCGTCGCTGCGCCGCACAGCACGGAGCCGACTTCGAAGATAAACAGCGCGCACATGTAGGTCCACTTGACGTTGAAATAGGTGTATATCTTCCCAAAGGACGGCTGCAGCGAGGTCGTCGTGAGCAGGTACGAGGAGCCATACCAGCCGACATCGTCCAGGGAGTTGAAGACTGTGGTTATCCTCGGAATGGCGGTTGCAATGATGGTGTTGTCCAGAGCGATGACGAAAGTTGACAGAGTCAGGCCGAACGTCAAGAGATGCAAGGGCAGCCCTTTGGCGTATTTTGACTCGTCATCTTCTCCGGGTTCGCCTGTGTCCGAGGTTGCCGTCGAAGCTCTGCGGGTTACTTCTTCTTCGTTAGTGCCTAGCGCGGACTGCTCATCATCTGCGGGCGCTGCATCGGAGATATCTTCTCGAAGCGCGACTGCTGGGCTTGACGGCGACTCGAGTGCTCCAGGCTCTGCGGCATTCGAATCAATCAGAATGGGTTTCTTCTCGGGATCAAGAGTTTCTGTCGAGAGCGGTTGTTCTGAAGGAGTGCTGAGGTGGCTATCCTGAACACCCGAGTCCGATGACTTGTCCACTTCTGTGGACTTCGACCAAGGGAACTTCATCTCGTGATGTTAAGCGAGATTGAGGATGTGATTAGCAGACAGAGATATACCGAGGAGCGTGGCACAATCGGCTCAATAACACGCTGGGACCGAACAAGGTCAAATAGCTGCATATCGAAATACGAAGAATGGGAAGACATTAAACCTCCAGAAAAACATTGACAAACACTGGGAGGGTTCATCACGACATTTCAGATCGTCCACGAGCTTCTCTCGGAACGATGAGCATCCGACCATAACCCAGGTACTCCGTACTTCGGCAAGAGCAAAAGAATGGACAGGTCAGGCTTCGACGCCGTCCGGTGGAAAAAAACAGGGCGACAAACCAATGGTACGGCGTGATCCGCCAGGCGAAGGAAATGACCCGTCCAGAAAGGCCAACTAGTAGAGCTCGCTTGCGATGCGATGAGAGGATGGCTCCCCATCAGCGCCCCCATTCCAAGAGTCGTAAACTATTCCAGTCCCGGCTATGAAGTCGTCTGATGGAGAGCGGCGGGCGAGGAAGAAGAGCTGCAAGCGAAGCCGAGGTTGAAGCACGAGCCATCGTTAGATCAGGTAAAGCACACGATGGGAGCCTCGTATTTCGGGCCATAGATTGCCGCAGGGTCTAGTGGGTCGGTGTTTGCAGCTGCGGTAAGCATTGCGCCATCAGGATGACGGCGCGGAGACCTTTTTCTGGAGGAGGACTGAGGTTAATTGAACTTCGATTTGACTCTAACAGTGATGCCGACATGGGATTGTGCTTCATGAGAAACCAGGTGACACAGTGTGGTGAGATCTGGGATATGTATATGTGGGTACGGAAGGAAAGGCGTAAGGAGGATGGAGATGACCAGCCTCGACTCTGCCAGCCCCTTCGTGCTCAGATTGACGAGGGACTCACATCGCATACGATCTCTCATTCACTCTACAAGTGGGACATGAACAAAGACACGAAAAACTCCGTGTTTTCTTTTTCGAATCCGCAACCCCGGCCAGCTTTCTGACTGAGAAACTGGATGATATTAAGACAGTGGTGGTGCACCCGCTTGTCTTAATATCATCCAATCTTCCAGCATCTATCCGATCTCTCCTTTCCCAGTGGTGAGGATGATGGGAGAGACAAAAGGTGTGACTTGTTCGAGAGACTACAAGCGACTACAAGCGACTACAAGTATCATCTGACACTCCATACAAAAGACATTCCAGGGCGGCTTCACGAAGCGTACCCTGGAGTGGTTCCTCTCAGTTCGAACTGAGAGTTTTTGCTGCCCACGAATACGGTGAGAGGAAGGAGGTTTCCTTTTTTTTTTTTTTTTTTCTCTTTGTTTTTTTATTTTGTGAGCGGGTGTGGAAAGGGAGATTGTGTGTCCGTCGGTCCAGTACTGCCACACCTTGCTGGGGCAATGTGGTCTACTGCTTCCGCTTCTTCTCATAGTGGTCTTCCGTCGCACGCTATCGCAACCTCTTTCCTTTCTCTTTTGCTGTGTCCTCGATTCCTCCTACCACTGGGACTTGATTTGCTTCCCAAGCCTGCACCCTCTTGTGCCTGCGGTTTGGAACTGATATCCATTCTCTATCCATGACATGCCCGGTCGATGATTGCCACCACTGCGGAAAACCCTCGCAAGAATTTGAGTGACAGCCGTGTTCTCAAATTCTCGGGTGTGTTACCTGCCTCTGGAACTCCACGAGCGAACACATGTGCCCAGTGACGGTGCCCCAGGACGACGACAGACGGTGAAAATCACATTTGTCGAGAACTCGCTCTCATCTCGTAAAGCCTCGTAACTATTATACAACGCGCTTGACCTGTGACGCAGACAACGGTCAGCCAAAGTTCCCACTTTCCTTTTTGGTCCAGCCAGATTTTCGATCCGACAATATCCCAACCCAACAGGCACAACAAGGTTCAAAGAGGGCGCAAAACCACAGAATCATGGGAGGGGTCGGCTGTTCACCTCGAAGAATCGCTTCAACCACCACACTTGGAATACTCCTTCTCCTATCAACACGCCCAATTGGAATATCGACCACCATTTGACTCTTGAATTTGTGCTTTCTGCAGTATTTCGGTGTGTTCGCTCGCGGACGACGATGTAAGCTTGCTCGTCTTTGACTTGAGCGAGGAGATCGGAGAGTTGGCGGACTAATCGAACCAGTTAGTCTCTGTGCTTGTTTCGATGGGCCCAGAGGATGTTGGTACGAACCTTCAGTTTCTAGCGGATCTTGAGGCGCCTCGGACTCAGGGACATAGACAATGCCGTGGACGTTGAAGGAGACCTCCTTGCTGTTGGCGGACCAATGCTCGTTGCTAAAGCAGTAGGTGTATTTCCCATCCATGCGGGCATCGAACGAGTAGTCGCCCGACGAGACCGAGTTGAGTTGTGTTTCGTAAGAGCCGGAAGGATCGGTGATCTAGATGCACGCATCCTCAAGGGTTAGCGGGGACGTCTCGATGTTGGGATGGGCAGGAATGGGGACACGTGGGCGCAGCATACGTAGAAATCAATTTCCAAGTTCCCAGCACCTCCAAACTCGCGGTCGCCCACTTGGAAGGTCACCGTCATCTTGTCGTCCTTGTGCAATTCCTCGTGGAAACATTCTCTGGTGTGTGCTTTGAGAGCGATGTTGTGCGCCAGGCCTGCCCCTATCCAACCCGCAAACGCGACATAAGCCGCTGCTCTGCCAAAGCGCATTCTTCTTGCGTCTGCCGGGTTGAATCTCTCTGGTGGTATTACGGGAGGGATACAGGGAATCGGGCCCGCTTCTTGGGAGGGTGTTTGCCGGGAGTGTCGAGTAGAGAAAGATTGAGAATCACCACAACCCAAAAAAAAGTGCCCAAGAAGTGTCCTCATTGACTTGGACCGTAACTCCGCAGTTTTTCTCCCTTGGTTCCAAGGGTCTCGACTTTGGCCAATCGGACCCGCGCTTGGCATGGCGCCCCCCTTTTCATCGTGTCGCCAATGTCCAATACCTGAGAGTCACTCAAACTCTTGAGCATAGCAGGGTGAGTTACAAACATATCAAATTCCTGTTGCCGCCTGGCGTGTTCTAGCCTACGGATCATCCTAACGGGATGTGTTGCCGACATGGCCAACTCTTCATTGCCAGTCACATGTGACAAAGCGACTAAAACTAGAGTAATATCTTCCCCTTCCCTGCATTTTGTTTTCGTAGAAAAACCCTCTCCGTCACTCTATTAGCCCTGTCATCTCCGTGAATCCAACGCTGCAATACTCTTGCTTCTTTCATAGGTGCTTCTCCAGCCGTCACGATGTCTTTTACATTGTGGTACACCAAGCCTGACGGCACCAAAAAACCAATCAAGATGTCCATCTGGGATGCTATGAAGGGTGTCCCGGATCCGAATCCGAGAAAGCCAAAGCCCAAGCCGGTAAGGAAACTAGCCACCAAAGTCAACCGCCATAGTCCTTGGATGGAGGCTGCGAGGGCCAGGAAGTGCTGATGACTTTTAGTGTTTGTGCTGTGGAAAGAGTCACGTCAAGGATAAGCCTAACGAAGACAGCAAATGCGATGAAAAGAAGGAGGCCAATGACAATGACAAGGACAACCGCAACAAAGGCAATGATGACACCAAGGGGAAGAGCAAGAACGAAGACTCTGATCTTACCGAGGACGATCGGACCATGCTCCGTATGAAAAGTGAGAACCACCAGGCCCAATGGAAGGATATCCTCGCAGTTACCACCAGCTTCAAGAATGTGGGCGAGCTCAAGGCACGTTGGAGGCAGATAAACCACCGACTCGAAGCGGGAAATAAGGACAATTTCAACGGAAGCAAGAAGAAGGACAGGGACGCGGAGAGGGAAGAGAGGACTAGGAGGGATCGTGAGGAAGGCTTGAAGAGGAAAGCCGAACGGGAAGCTGCCAGAGCCAGGAAGGGAGAAGAGGAAAAGAAGGCAGAGGAGCAGAGAGAAGACGGTACCAGATCTGATAAGAAGGTATGTTCGAGCGAAGAGTCCCCTGACCGGCTGTCCGTGGACTAACTGTAGACAGGATGATGACAATAAATCTGCGACATGGGACGGCAACGCAAAGAAATCCAGCCCGTCACCAAACAGTCTGAAAGCGTGGGCCGACAACTACGACAAGAAGAAATGGCAGATCATGGCTTCGAAACACTATGACAAGACAGGCGAGCGCATCACTGCCAGCCAAGCTCGGAAGCTGGCTGGGGCAAAGTGATCTGACGAGAACAAGGGAATGCCGGTGTCAAGGGTTTCCCACTAGGCCACAAGACTGGTCAAGGCACTCTTACTGCGATAGATGGATTGGTTAGGGATCAGGATTAGATGCCTGCGTCGACCACCTCGGGTCTCCAAGCACACAATTGGTAATAGAGCATACATACCACTTCCTGACTCTCGGGTTGATTGGTTGATTGATCGATCGTCTGTTGTTGGTGGCTGGAGGAAGCCAAGACCTCGCAAGGCTGACAGCCTCCTTTTCTTCCGAGTGGTCATTCGCCCTCCAGGTACTGCTTACACTGGGCAAATTCTGCAGACAACCTGGCTCTACGAGAGAAGGGAAGAGAATACCGAGCACAAGCCTGTTCTGGCACCCTCCGCACCTCCACAAAAATTGCGGGGCAAAAGGCGATGATCTTGCCTTGTCGACCCGACATCCTTTTCAGGCTGAATTCCGGCATCTCACAAATATCCCCGTCAATAGTATGAGCTTCCAAATCAGTCGAGGACCCGATGTCAATGACGCGTGGAATCAAGCCATTTATTTGTCCCAGCTCTACCTAGCACCATCCAAGGGCCGCGCAAACGATGGTGCTCCCGATCACTTTCTATCGTCATTGGGCCGGGTTGCGGGCTTCTCTTTGCCTGGACCAACAGTCCTATCGACCGTCCTCCGCATCGAATTTGGAGGGCTCTGTGAATTTCGCCGGGGCGATGGATCAAGTCGAGCCCGCAGTGGGCTAGGGTCGGTTCTGGGAGCGGATGGGAGGAAAAAGAGGTAAATTGAGGACGTTCATACTCCAGCTGCGAAAGGGTATAAAGAGCTCTCACGGCAGCTATTTCAACCCTGTCCATCTTATTGACGGGTACTATTGATACAAACTGAGCTGTTCATTCAAAATGAAGTTCTTCTCCCCTGCAGGATTTCTTGTCCTCGGTGTTGCTTTGCTCTCCTCGTCCACTACATGCTCGATTCTCCCACGCCAGAGCAACAGCAAGCCATGGTCGATTAAAAACTTCAACTCCCTCATCACGTTCGGTGACAGCTATACGGATGAATCTCGCTTGGGGTGGTTCATCAATCACAATGGGTCTGCTCCACCTGCCGGGACTTTGTTGTCCGAAACTTTCAGTGCACCTGGTGGAGGGCGCACCTGGCCCAGATACGTGGTACAGTATACTGGAGCGACCGTGCAGGGAAAGTGGTCTCCTCAGATGACGCTGTACGACTACGCCGTCTCAGGGGCTGTCTGTTCCAACAACATTACCCCGAGGTTGGTCTATCATTGACTTATTTCCGGAGAGCCATCCTGACAAGACACTTCTCCTAGATGGTTCCCAGCGATCGACGCTCCATTCCCCTCCGTGCTGGAGTATGAGGTTCCGGCCTTCGTCGCCGATATCCCAGCGGCACGAGTCAATTCCACTCCGGCCGTCCAACTCTTCACACCCAAGTTGACAGCCCAGGACGCCGTCTACGCACTGTGGATCGGCACCAACGACCTCGGCGTCTACGCGTTCCTAACCGACTCGCAGATCCCAGGCAAAGTCCTCTCCGACTACACGTCGTGCGTCTACAGCGTCTTTGACAAACTCTACGCCAGCGGTGCCAGGCACTTCGTACTGATGAACACCGTCCCTCTGAACCTAGCCCCCTTGTACGCCAATGATTCCTCCCACGGCGTCGGCCCGAACCAGTACTGGGCAAACAAGACGGCAAACCACACCGAGATCGCGTACACGGTGCAACAGTTCACCACCACGGTCAACAACATCTTCAAGTACCAGACGCCTTACGAGCTCCTGGTGGCGAAGCGCTATGCGGGTGCTCACTTCGCCCTCTTCGACACCCACGCACTCATAACGGACATCTACAACAACCCCAGTAAATACCTGAACGGCACGGGTGTGATCAAGGGCGGGGAATGTGTCTGGGGCTACGAGAACCACTGCAGCGTGGACCAGAAGACGTGTGTGAAGAGACAGAACGGCACGAATTCCGATGGATATTTGTGGTTTGACGAGTTGCACCCTAGGTGAGTCTTGCGTTCATCGATCTACTTTGTCCGTTTCCCTTCCCCTCACCTGCTTCCTTTGCTCTTCTCCATTCAGGTGAGAGGAAGAGTGAGTGTGAATGTGAGAGAGTCGGCTACGAGCATGATAGCTCGAGATTACGAGACAGAGAGGAAATGCTAATCTGTTGCATTTCCTGCCGCGCAGCCAACAAACTGACCGGATCATCGCGCGGAATTTCGTCCAGGTCCTGAACGGCACGTCCAAATATGCCACGTATTACTGAGCGAGCGAGCGAGGCCCAGTCTCAGATGGATACTTGGCATGCATAGTAACCCGGTGTTGGAGGGGATGGGATGGAACAGGTTTCTTGTGGTGTGGAATGCTATGCGAGAATACGGCGTGGGATGACGATAGGCATCGTAGGTATGTTTGGATAGGGTGCGGTTGGTACGTAAGGTATGGTATGGTATTGGAGGATACGATACGACACCACATGGCATGAAGGCATGGAATGGGATGGATCATCAAGCCTGACTGACTGGCAGACTGAATGGATGGACGAGCCAATGAATGAATGAATGAATGAACGAACGAACGAACGAACGAACGAACAACGCCATCGACAACGACAACGAAACGGCCCTGACCCTCTCCACCCTGCATCCCCGCCCGGCCCATCTAGTGGAACCATACCCACGTATATCGTACGTGGAAGTGGGTTGGATCACCCCGCCTCGCGCATCGTCCTCGAGGAGCGAAGAAGGGATCAGGGGGAAAGGGGCATATCATATTATATCCTCCATACCGCCACGTGTGTACCTATGTACGTATGCACGTATGCCCAGGCGGACATGCACCGACGAAACAAGCCCGCCGTGCTGCGTTCTCCGTCCCGCCAGCCAAAGAACCAACAATACAGAATCACCGCCGGGAAGAGAAAGGACGAAGCATGTACCACGAAGCACGCACCGCGATCCACATACTGGACGTACCTGTACTGTAGGTAGGTATGTGCTGAAGTATCGGTCAAGTGTTTTCATTGTTGGGCAGCTATGAGTACTGTTTATCTAGCCATCTGTTTTCGTGTTGTTCCTGCATTCGCCGGATAGGTCCATCCATCGTGCCCGAGTTTCTCAAACGCAACTCTGAGCTTTAGTACAATTCCGCCCCAGTTCAATGTCGATGTCCTTGCGCCTTGCCTTGCGCCTTTGTCGCCATAGAGTATCATTGCCCGTTCCTCAAAACACACTGCTCGACTGAAAAATTCCGCCCGTTCGTAAGGGATGTCGTATCCATCCACGAGCAAGGGCGCTTGTAGCACCGTTCGTGGCTTAAAAGTTCTCGTCATCGACTCTATTGTCGATCCCTCCGACCCACCAAACTGCTGCATTGATGATGTTCTCTATAACCTCCAGGTCCTCATTGTTCCTCGGTGCATATAGCAGAACCTGAGAGCCCTCGACAGGGCTCGGTTGGTTTGAGTTAAAGAAGCGCATGAGTCGAGACCCAACGCGGCCGGACAGGGGATGTCTTTGACCCCACCCCTTCTCAATCACCGTCTTGACATCACTGGGATGGAGTGTTGAATGAATAAAACCATCTTCGGTATTGGCACTGAGGATCTCCCCGTAGTACTTTGTCTCGTTGAAGGCGCGGTGGCGGGCGTACAGAGAGGTGGGAGACTCGGGCTCAAACGTGGAGCGGCCCAGGTAGGTGGATTGGGGGTAGCGGGAGGGGATGTCGACAATCAGGTTGCGGAGGCGGTCCTGTACATCCTTTTGTTCCCACGGGGGAAGTTGCGTCTTCTGTATGGGACTGCCGATGCCTTCGACCTCAGGGCGAGAGCCACGGCGGTGTGGAAGACTCTCCAAGTAGCCTCGCGAAGATATGGTGGTGGGGTTTGACGGAGGACTGAGTGGATCTGAGACGGAGAGGATGTTGAGGAAGCGTTCGAAGGCTCTCTGGCAGCTAGCCTCGAGAGCTTTACCAGGCTTTGTAGAGAGCAAAGGCTTGATGTCGAGTTTGATGAACTTGAGGAGATATGTGACAATGGTGGAGCCGATCAGGATGGACGAGGCCACATAGAAGAGATTGGGGGCCCACAGGGTTGGCATGTGGAAGGCCATGTTGAGTTGCTGTATGGTTTTTTAGTGTTCCTCTTGATGAGATGGACGCTCGAGTAAGTCTCTCAACCAGAAAGTGAGCAGGGAGAAAACAGAACGTGCCACGAGTTTCACTTGAAGTCACAGTCAAACCCGATGCTTGAAGAAGACATGGACAAGCGACAACCTTTCACCGGTTTCTTTATACTTTTTCACCCCTTTCTATCGGCGTTTCCATCACCCAAGACTCCGAGAAAGGCTCGTTGGAGGAGGCATGACAAAGGGCAAGGACGAAACAGAGTGGCCACGGAATGACGCGTATCGCACTAGGTTTCCAGTTTGCGAAAACCTGAATAGAGACTGTGAAGGTGAAGAGCTTTACATCACCAGAGACACGGCTCCTCAGCTACCGAAGAGGGAATAAGGCATGATGGAGCCGGCTGGTTGGGTGAACCAGATGGAAGCCGTCGGCTAGGATGCATGAACACGTGTGGTTCTGCCTGTGTCAAGAGTGAAGGGCGTGAGTGGGCCGATTCCTGGCCGCGGCACGGACGACACCGTGTAGCAATGGTTGTATGTAGACGATGCGGGTCGTGATCTGATCAGGGGAATAGTGGTGAATGTGAGGCCTGATGGATTGGTAGAGACAAGGCGAGAGGGAGAAGGATGCCAAGAGGCTTCAGGCAGCGACATCGGCATGTCGGAGCTTCGGGGATTTTCCGCCCGACACACAAATTCTCCTACTGCTTCATTCATTCTCCCCCTTCACCATACACATGTATTCACGCTCTCTGCTCTCTGCAACTTGGCCACGGCCATTCTGCGAGTGGCCACTCCTCTCTTCTCCCTCCTGCTGTCGACTGTCATTCGACGATCACTGATTGCATCACCCGGAACAGTCAACTCACACGGCGCACTGTAATCTGTCGCTGCATTTGGAGCTCCCCATTCTATGTATATATAGCATCCTGTCAGATTGGCCAATACGCTCCCCACCCACAGGCTCGAGTCCAAACTGCTTCGTAGCTGGGGACTGCCAGTGTTCTGCTTCGATACCCATCTGGTCGTGTTTTCATGATGGCGGCGATCTTGCTCTCAGCACATGTTGCAAGAGTTCAGCTGTGCCTTGCTGGGTTTCTAACATCCGGACAATATGTCGAACACCATCCGCAACCTGCTGCGTGCGGCATACACGGCACTCATGGGTTTGCTCCAGTGCTCAAATTCCGGATCTTGGATACATGGTTGTGGATCGAGCGGTGACAACGCTGACCGCAAATCGAACAGCAAAGCGCGGGAATTATTCCCAATTCCATCTTTTGCCCCAGACATTTCCACGTTTCGGGAGCGATCTCCATGTCCACCTCTGCTCTGCTCAAATGAGGGAGCAAGGCTACGCAGGCCGTGTGCCGCTGCTTTCCTTCGGCTGAATGCCGGGATCCATCTCAAGGATGTACTCCAGGTGGCGCTCGAGGTTTATGGACAATTCGCTCCAGCCTCTAGACTGGACTATTTTGAGAGCACAAGCGTGCTTGTAGCCTGGGGTCGTCCTAACCTCGTCTGGTTGTTAAGCAGCGTGTATTGATAGGAAGGCTGTTTGGGGACCATCGCTGAATCGGGCTGAGCGGGTTCGTCAGGGACGATTCATCGAAGCCATCGAATTGATCCGTGCCACCTACGCTCAGGAACGTGAGCTGCATGTTCGGAAACACCTCCGATCGAACGTAGCGTCTCGTTGCCGAGTGCACATCCAAACTTTGATAAACCAGTCTTGCCCATGTCCTCGCTCCATTCGGGACGCTCAACCGAGGTATCATGTTGCGCGGCGAGACGGCAAGGCTCCCGTGAGACGGGAGGCTCCTTGCTTCACAAACACCCAGATTCCTTTCTGACAACGCGCAAGAAGCGCATTGCATCAATGGATCCCATTCCTCGGACCTCCGTCAGTCGAGTACCAGTTAACAGCGATGAAGCCGAAAGACACAATGCCTGTGGCTGCCGCGCAATCCTTCCCTATACCTTCAGGCGGGAAGCGAAAGAAGCTGGTTCTATATTTGACCCGCGCTAGTTGCAGATCAGAGACTGGTTTCTATCCTCGACCAAGGAATTGCGCGAGGGATTCTGCAAGGGATGGTGAAGCTTCACGCAAAAGCCATGTTGTTGTCATCGAGGCCAGGTTCGCCTGGGGATGGAAAGGACTACACCTGCTTCCGTCATGTTCCATTGTTTGGCGATCCTGCTTGCGGAATGTGTCTGTTACTATCTTTGATCAAGGTTCTTTCGGAATGCGAAAGGGGAGAATAACCCAAATCAGGACCTTTACCGAGTAGTTGAACCAAGTCCTCTTCTGAGAGCACATTCGATGGCCCAAAAATGGCACACTGTCCAGAAAATAACCTGCTCGACTCACAATCCAGGGTTCAACCTCTTCCCGCTCTCCCACAGCAGATACATACAGAGGAAACTGCTGATCCACCAAGCCGAGCTCTCCGCATACGACAACATCCCTATGCACAACTAGATAGGCGACAGCATATATGGCCCTCGCCACTCCATAAACAAGACAAGCCGCATTGATCTTCTCACTGGCTACCCGCGCCACATCGGCAAAAAGGACAACCCCCGCAAAACCCGGGAAATGCTCCGTAAAGCCACGGTAACACCCCCGCTAACTCGTCACCAAACCAAATCGGAGTTGGTGCAGGTTATGTCTTGGCACTACGGTGAACCTTTCAGACATTTTCGCGTCCCATCCTCATCGGTTAGATTTATCAAGCACGGAATGGGAAGTCAAGAATGAATCATCAGAGTGGTCGGTTCAACAGGAATCAGTCGCGAATAAAGACTCCTGATGCCGAGCGCGAAGGATGTGAAGCCCCGAGGAATAGGCTTCTCAGGCAAACTTAACGAACGGGCCGAACATGCAGGCCCGTAATTGCAATCAATCCATTCAACAATCCACGAAACGACTTTCGGAAGCATCGCTCAGCCAGGCAGATGGGCATCCACGTCGGAGTGGTGGAGAGTAATATGAAATACAACGTCAGACGTGCTCTTGGGCACTTGGGGTTGACCGGCCAGTTACTAAGTCAAGACCACGGTTTTCTTCATGTCCCTTGGATCTATAATGCACAAACTTACTGTAGAGGTGTTATACTAAGAGATTGGAAGTAGACAGGTGACTGCGCCTTGGCTCACCATGCTCATTGTGTAAAAATTCTAACACTGTTCACAGATTTCCGTCACTGTTATTTTTCACTTGAACTTCCCCGGAACTGATGTCCACAGCGGTTCGGTCAGCGTTCAGCATCGACCCCAAAACTTTCGGAGTTCGCAAAACTCGGTCATTGTTTTATCTCCAAACATGAAGAGAACCAGATGCCGGGTCGGCCGAGTTTGCCTTGTCCAGACCTGTCGTACTGCTCGGGCAAGGCTGTGGGCGCTTTGCGTTCCCTTGCTGGTCCTCCACCTGTGGCATTCACCCCCCGAGCCCCCTCATCTTAACCCCAGACTCGCATATCAACAGAAGCACACTGCTGTACGGGCCTTGAACTTGACGTGAATAAGTTATGTTTTCCCCAATACTCCTAGCCTAGGTAGCTCAATGTGTGCCGATTTGCCGGCGGGACAACTCTGGTCCTTAGCTTCCGTACCATGTAAGTGGTTGAATATGCTTCCTTTGATTTTGTCGATCCTTCCCTTTTTCAAGAAGAATAAAAAGCTTAAACAGCTCTCGTGAAGATTCGGAAGACTCATGACTGCTGAGGACGCTCACTTGCTCTGGTACTGTGTTGACGTATCTGCCTGTATGTTCAATTATGAAGGGGGGCTCTTCCAGACTATACCATATTAAGCCACAGGGCTACGCCAGAGAGCAGGAATTGGGAGTGCCGTTTCACGGAGCGGTCGGGGGAGCGATCCCGGGGCTGGGCCGAGAGAGTTTGGAAATACAGACCAGTATCGTCAATTGCAATGTCGCGGTGTCCGACACAGACACTAAACAACAGCGATCTAGAAGAAGACTCGGATAACTAATTGGAGCTACGCCATTGACAAACAACGGTCCAGGTAGTTCTGCGCGGGCGTACCTTTCCCGCAAGCTTAGCGCCCCACATAACACCCCACATAACACCCCCACATCTCGCAATGAACAATGACTAGCCTAATCGAACGACTTGGGGATGCGATATCCAATACAATTCTCTGTATGCCTTTGCTCGCGCACTCTAGTCTAGCATCTTGTCAGTTGCGAGGAGACATTAACGGACTCCGGCTTGGGCACTCCACAGGCCTGCACCCTGCCAGAGCCCTACCCTCCCCTATTCGTGACCATGGTCAGGAAGAGACCACAACGGGCTGTCGAGGAACAACAACCGCGGGCAAGAAGAACCAGTACCATCCCGCTGTCTCCAAACAGATGGGCATGCTTGCCGAAAAGGGTGTTGCAGGTACATACCCCAAACTCCCTCCTACAGAAGACCAATGCAATAAAAATTCCGTCTTCTTTGGAGAACGACCAAAGTGTCGGTCAAAGCAAGCAATCTAAGCTTTTGTCGAACTTTCCAAGATGAATATTTGGCAATGCCCCACAATGACGCTTGACAGGTCGATCAATCTGTCCCACGCCAACTGTGGACTACCAAAACGGCTATGCTCTGCAAATTCTGTCCAAACTGTGCTGCGGGCTTCGTGGCCAAGTGAGAAAGCGGTCGGTAGGATGTGGTCGCTCGACAGATTGAGTCCATCATATTGCCGGTCCTGGACATCGAGATTCGTGGCGAGCAAGGCCAAGGTCGGTTGGCACCCAGCGACCCTATCCCACAGGACGCAGACACGTCAAAAGGCTCAAGATCCTGCCGTCGTCCGGTTACTGCGCTAGTTCAACTAGTTTTCGGTGGCTTCAAGGAAGCTCGAAGATCTCTTTTGCGTTCTACCCCAACTACTCTACGAAACGGTAAGTACCTATCTGTCCTCGGTGGGATCTCCCCAGACGGGATGGAGATGTTGGGGTCCCGGTCCTATTCTGCTGCACTGTCTCAAATCTCTTTTGCAGATCTTGTATCCCACCGGGGAGGGAGCTGGACTCCAAAGCCTATAAAGTTGGTAGGACCCGACCACGAAGACCCGGGATGATCGTGTAACAAGAACGCCCAGCATGGCTCTGTTCTCCCTGTTCTCCCTGATCTTGCTGTGCTTGCTTCAACCTAGCTCGGGGGCCTCGATTCCCGCGACGCCAAAAGCAATTGTTTGCGCGGCCGATTCACGTCATTTCATAAGCAATGACAGCGACAGCAATATCTGGCCATGGCAAGCCTATCGATCTTCCAGTGCGCAACCGCCCGTACTCCAGACGGACAGGACTGGGGAAGCATTGTTTAACGGTCTGTTGTTCTTCGATGTGGCCCCCGGCGCCGCCATCACAGCCGCCAAGCAAATATCACCGTATGTAATGACCGATACTGGAGATCTAGTTTGGAGTGGACCCACAGGACCATCCTACAACGTCCGCGTGCAAGAGTACAACGGAGCTCCCGTCTTGACTCACTTCTCTGGCGAAGGCACGGCTGGCGCCTCAGCTGTCGTTGGGCATGGCTATGGCGGCGTCATTGTACGGGACACGAGCTACAATGTCATCGCTAGGGTTTGCCCGAAGCTCAACCATTTCACGATGGAAACGGGTGTCACTGCAGAATGCCATGCCGACTTGCACGAGTCTTTCATCACGCCGCGAAACACTATGCTAGTCACGGCATACAACACTACCCGTGCCGACTTGACCAGCGTAGGAGGACCCAAGGACGGCTGGATCCTGGACTCTATGGCGGTCGAGCTGAACATTACCACTGGGGAAGTACTTTTCCTGTGGAGTCCACTTGCCCATTTGCCGCTTAATAAGAGTCATTTTTCCCTGGCCGGGATCGGTGCCGGGCAAGGTCATAATCAAAGTGTACCTTGGGATTTCTTCCATATCAACGCGATTGAACTTGTCGGGGAAAACTACTTGATCAACAGTCGCCATTATTGGAGCACTTTCCTTGTCAACCCGCAAGGGAAGATCCTGTGGGAGATTAACGGTTTGGACGGAGGGGATTTCGGAAAGTTGCCAGAAGGGGCAGCGTTTGTAAGTACTAAGCTAGGAAACGACCTCTCTGTCATTGTGTAATTCATGTCTAATACCGTGCGCAGTCGTGGCAACACTTTGCCCGTGTCCAGTCGATCAACTCGACCCAAGCCGTGATCTCGTGGTTCGGAAACAACAACTACCTCCCTGATCTCGGCGACATGAAGCCCACCACGGGCGTGACATTACAGCTTACTCTGCCACCGGATCCATCGTCACCTCCAGTCCTCATCACCAATTTGACCGACCCTGCACTACGTGTCGATGCGTGGTCCCAAGGCTCCTTCCTGCATCTGCCCAACGGCAACATGTTCATGGGATATGGCTCGGACCCGGTCATGGTGGAGTACGGCCCGCCCGAGAAAGGTGCGACGGTGGCCAATGCTCGCTGGAGCGCGACCTTTGGCTACGGCGACCTGGTCTCGAGTTATCGATCCTACAAGCAGGTGTGGCACGCCACCCCTGCGACGAATCCGGACCTCATCGTCCTCGAGGCCGAGGCCAATGACCAACTCCACTGCGCCGGGAATTCCACTTACAGGGGATATGTCAGCTGGAACGGCGCAACCGACGTGACGGCGTGGATGGTGTATGCGGGCGCGACCAACAACTCGTTGAACGCGGTCGGTCGAGCGATGAAATTTGGCTTCGAGACCGAGTTTGCCGTTCCTAACGACGCCATGTTTGTGCAAGTGGGCGCGATCGAAAATACTGGTAACACCGTAGTGCGAAAGTCACGGGTCGTGGCTGCGGGCAAATAGACCTGGGCGATAGCGGGTTGAGGGCTCGGGGATTCTCAGATCTCTAAGATCGCTGAGAAGCTGAGAGACATTTAAAGAAAAGTTCATGTTTTCAAGTCAAGTTAGTCCAAGGAGACAGCAGAACCGTCTCCTTCAGAACATTGATATCAATCTTGTCACCTTTTTCTGAGGCCATTACGTCGTCGATGACCATGACATTTCTCACTATCCCCTGAGCCTTGAGTTTTTGAAATGTAACCAAACACGGAATCGGTTTTGAAAGTTGCCTACCTAGCGAGCTAGGTAGGTAGAGTCATGATTCTTTTAACCAGTACACTACCTAGTGTCGAGAAATTAACAATACACACCGCTGGATTGGCCTGCCTCACCCAGCCTCGCCAGGAATCCGACGACATTCCCAGGTTCTCATGGGCAGGAAGGACTATATTTCTCAGACCAACCTTTGAAGCGAGCGGTGCTGAAGATATTCGTCCTGATCGTCCGACATCCAAAGCCTGGACGACTTCAGCGTGTCCTTGCCAAGTATTCTCCTCAGCGCCCCTGGCAGCGAGATGACAACAGACGGCTCTCATATCGCGCAGGTTCTATAGTCTCGCCTGCCTTTCCCGCTAGCATGAGCACTGCGCCCTGCGTCCTATGCAGCTTCGACGGCAGCGAATGCAAGTATGGCAGACAATTTCCAGTCCAAGAGAGATCCCCAATGCTAATGAACGCAAGCAATCATCAACCTTTGCGCTAGATGGCCAACTTTCAGCGACATCTAGCATCATGTAAGAGGAGAGAGGACTCGCCACGACAGTAGGGATGCAGCTATTACATGCCTCGCACAGGCTGCTGCTTTGATTTGGAGAGTAGCGTCTTCCATTTGGCTCCAAGTCATGGTCGGGATTTTCCTGAAGGCGACCGCTATTGAATAGCCCCAAGAGTAGCGCCTGCCAATGAGGAGGCAATCCAAACAGCTATGAGCGCCCCGAGCTTAGGGGGACAGAACCTAAGTCAAGTCAGCTGATATGAACCAAGCATGTGCGTGAATACGTACTCTTCCAGACGAAGACCAATCAATCCATACCAAAAAAGCCACTGTGCAATCCAAAGAAGGAGCATGCCTATGATCGAGACTGTATACAGCCTCAAAAATGATTTCTGAGGGAGCCGGTTGTTTTGGCCTTCAATAGGGAGAGTTCCATACGCCGTGTAGTAGCCTCCCTCGCTTCTCAATGCTTCTTCTAAGCTCTTACTCTTGTCCACCCACTGATGTGCCCTCTTATCTTCCAGCCATGTCCAATATTGATTGAACAGGGCCATCAACGAAACAAACGCCAAGATGGCGGTAATATGCCACAAGAATGCTCCAATATACATGGATTTTGCCGGTGGTGCCCGTTCTAGTCGTTTCATATCTTCAAGGTAGAAGTTGTGTTCTCGACCATAATTGACCGTCATCATCATATAATACGATGATGACACTTGGAGAATCGCTTCCGCAAACAGGGAAGACGCAGCCGGGGAGAGATTCATCGCTTTGGAGGGCTGTTCACCAAGTAGCAAAGTCGCTAGCCAAGTCAGCCGAGGCATTGTGCACCAGAGGAGCATCAATTGAATGACGGGAATGTCCTCATATCCAAGGGTGTTCTGGACAAGAACCGCATTAAAGCCAGTTTGCAATGAGATGAAGGGCAGCAATTAGAATTCCTGTGTAAAACCAACATTCGGGGTCCGGCTGCCACAGAAAGCCCCGGGCGATTCGATGCATGCCTGTTCTCCGGGCGAGACATGCGGAAAGGAAAGTAGCTATATTGACCATGGCAAGGCTGCCGAGCTTCCACTCGGTCTTGGCACATGTTTTCATTGTTTCAATAGATCCTATGGGGGCAAGGCTTGAATCGTTGGATGGTTTGAGGGTCCATTGCCATGAAATCATGTCGAGAGTGGTAGTGGCGGCTAATTGACGCCAATTATCTGGCAAACCGTGCCAGTCCTGCACATTGCCACAAAGATCGTGGAGCCACTGGACATAATCTATCCGGGTCTCGAAAAGATGGCATGAACCTCGGCAGGACTCGTACCTAATGTTACGGCAGAAGCATGCCCTGTCTACTGCGCGTATGGCTCTGCAGTAGCCACTGGAGTCGAACTCACAAGCGCCAGTAGCACATTGTCCGGTAAGCTCAGTCACCTGCTCCGGCATATCCGTGACGCACTCCGGCCAATGCCAATCTTCGATGGGGATATACGCGAATTCCGTGGTTTTAAGTGCATCTGTCCAGTTGTGTGGTAAGGACGTCGGTCCACAAGTGGCATTCATCCATAGCCGCTCCTTTGTCAAGCCCATTGTCCCAGTCCCTGAATAGGGTTCCGTTTTGACGTCTATGGCAAACGCGCCGCAGAAGCATTGTTTGTCAAAATAGTCACCATATTTGATGCTACGCCCGGTGAGGTCGTAACCGACGGTTTCAGAATCCAGCGCAATCATGGATTGTAGAGGCTGGCTGTATTCCCAAGGACGAGCCGCATTTCCGGTATGTTGGGTGGTGCTTGTAAAACTGCAGGAGGCTATTACGTGTTGAAATGTTTCCATCGATGAAGCAGAATCCGAACCCGTAAGGCATGGTGGCGCCTTGTATATCACGTCAACGGCCGCATATCCTTCAGCCAGGGAAGCCGGGGAGAGGTTTTGCAGCCCGTTCGCATCGCCAACATGGACGAGCCACGTCCGGCCGGTAACATTACGAATCCACAGAGACAACTGTGCTTTGGCGAGCACTGATCGACTGCAGTGCGGGAGATAAGCCTTAATAACATCAGGGGAAAATCCAAGGCTGAGACAGCTGAGTTCAGTCAGTCATTGATGGTGGGTGCAGATGAATCCAAAATGTGAGGTGCATCGTTTGCTGGTACATTTGGTCATGGTACTCAGCCAGGTGGATCGATCCTGCTGAGCGATACACTGTGGCATAGGAGGCAAGTCTTCAGGATTAACCCAGCCATTGTGATTGTTTTGGGGGGGTCAAGATAGGGCTTTCCCCATTAGAATTGAGGCTGGCGGAGGAGAGTGCTTCTGAAGTTCCCAGATCAGCGTCAGACAGGGAAATGCCTCCCACAGCAACCCCGCACGATCCGGCCATTAGCAGCACTCGATATGTATTAGGTATTTTCATCTTGCTGATAGTGTCGTGTCTTGGGCTCTCGTGGTCCAAAGTACGGGGTTAGTTGAAAGGTTATTCAATTGAGACTGGACCATCTTGGACCCTCCTTGGACCCTCTCAGATGGCAGCGAGTTGGTGCGGGGCAGTGCGGGGCAGTGGAAATCTTTATTAATGCTCCGCCCTTGTGATACGGCGGATCATACGAGACGTGGAAGTGCCGAGAAACTCCGGATCTAGCTCGCTAGTAAGGCAGCGAGCGGCTCGGCAGTTTGGCGGGCCCCCAGCGGCCCCTTACGAGGAGGTATTGGATGCTGCAGCTGCTATTATGCGAGAATGATTTGCATGTGTAGAGCTTGTGAGCTTTCCTGCGTAAACGACGCCGGGGGCCAGGACCAACACCAACTTCAACCTGCTTCTCTCAATCATCTCAAAGGCTTCACTCTTCCGCATTGACCTATTCCTTCTACCTCGTACCTAGCTACCAACCCCTTCCACCCTCATGAATTCGCTGGATCAATTACCTCTCCCCTGATGCCTTGACGGCTAACATGGCGAGGCTCTCCAACCCATTCGCTTTCACTCGTTGGCCCGTCACCGTCATCACCTCTACTGTTTATCTCGTCATTATTATTGCTCTGCTCATCGTTCATACGACTGTCCCTTCTCCTCCATCATCGCCCACCCCCATTCGCGGTATTAATCTGACAGAAGCGTGGCTGGATCTACAGCTTCTCACTGCGGCCTACCGCCCTTACAACAGCCGTCGCAACGACCAAGTCCACGACTGGCTCCTCGAACGAATCGAGTCGATAGCGAGAGAAAATGATGCTTCCCCGTATATCTTCGAGGACAATACCTCCAATCTGACCTTTTCGTCGGGAGGGATACTATCGAGCCCCGGCGTGTCTGTCTATTTTGAGGGCACTAACCTCGTCGTCTATATCCCCGGAACGGAAGATGATAAAACAAGATGGTGGCTGGACCCCAGCGGGAAACCATCGAGTCGCAATGCGGTCTTGGTGAATGCACATTATGACAGTGTCTCCACGGGTTTCGGTTCAACAGATGACGGCGTTGGAGTTGTCTGCGTATTGCAGTTGCTCAGATACTTCACGACCCCCAAGAACAAACCAAAAAACGGAGTGGTGCTGCTCTTGAACAATGGCGAAGAAGATTTTTTGAACGGAGCAAATGTTTTCAGCCAGCACCCCATGTCCATGATTGTGAGTGCATTCCTGAATCTGGAAGGAGCTGGTGCAGGAGGACGAGCCGCTCTGTTTCGAAGCACCGACGATGCAGTCACGAAAGCCTACGCTCGCTCCAAGTACCCATTTGGCTCGTCCACCTCGGCAGATGGCTTCAATCGAGGACTTGTTAGGAGTCAGACGGATTACGTGGTATTCAATGGCAAGCTAGGTTATCGTGGATTGGATGTTGCCTTCATTGGTCCGCGGTCGAGATACCATACTGACCAAGACGATTCACGACACACCGGGAAAAGTTCCCTCTGGCACATGCTCTCAGCAGCTGTCGCTACGTCTGAAGCCCTGACTTCAGCCTCGTTGAAGACAAACACGGATCCAGGGCACAAGCCGGGGAGTCCGTCACTCTGGTTCGACGTATTCGGCCAAACATTTGCCATATTAAAAGCGCACACCTTCTTCGCTCTGTCGGTCACCCTGCTCGTTGCTGGTCCTATCATACTCCTCCTCACTGTTGCCCTACTGTATCGGGCTGACAAGTTCTATCTTTGGGCCGGATCACAGCCCCTTCACCGCTCGAACGGAGACGAAAAGATCAAGCTGTACGGCTGGCGAGGCTTTTTTCGTTTCCCGCTCATCTTGGTTATAGCTTGCGCCGTCCCAATTGCGCTGGCATATCTCGTTTTCAAGGAAAATCAATACATCGCCCACAGCAGCGAGTGGGCAGTGTGGGCCATGATGATTTCCTCCTTCGTCATTGTGGCTTGGTTCTTCTGCCGAGCCGCGGACTATACACGACCCTCTTCTCTCACTCGTGTATACGGGTTCTCGTGGATGTGGGGAGCATGGTGGGTGCTCCTTGTCGTTGCAACAGTGTTCGAAGAACACTTCCACCTCGTCGGTCTATACTTTGTCCTGATCTACGCGGCTCTCGTGTGGCTGGCTACGTGGTTGTCCTACCTCGAGCTGTTTTCCTTGCCAAGGAAGTCGGTGTATTGCCAGCGTGTGGTTGGCGAAGAAGAACCATCTCCCCCAGAGGCCAGCTCAGCTTCTGGGGACGGAGGCGATGTGGACCATCCAGACCCCGATGATGACGATGAACCAACAGAAAGGTCGAGCCTTTTGAGGAGAGGGTACCGCCATGGGAGAGATGAACAGAATCGTGACGTAAAAGCCAGCGAGAACAAAACTGACACCGTCGAAGAGCCAGATTGGAGCAAATCCCAATGGTCCTGGTTGTGGCTATTGCAGATGCTCGCCCTGGTCCCCATCAATCTTATCGTCGTCGGTCAGATCGCCCTTTTACTGACCGAAGGCCTCCACCAGACGGGACAAGACGGAAGTTCCATGTTTCTATTATACATTTTGGTCGCCGGCTGCACAATACTTCTCTTCTCTCCACTTGTGCCCATCCTACACCGCTTCACCTGGCAGATACCTCTATTCCTCTTACTCGTCTTTATCGGCACCATGGTGTACAACCTGACCGCGTTCCCCTTCTCCATGAACAACAGATTGAAGCTTTTCTTTCAGCAACAGATCGACCTTGAAGGAGGGAACAACACCGTCTTTCTGACTGGGGTATCACCGTACACACGCCATGCGGTCAACTACATCCCCAGCTCTGCAGGACAAGATATCGCCTGTACACCCGCTAGTCCTTCAATTTCCGGCAACATGCAAACCTGCTCGTGGTCCGGCATCCCGCCCAATGTTGCCAACCCTGCCTCCACCGCTCTTTCTCCCAAGGAACAGTACGATAGCTGGCTCACTTTCAACGTTACCCGTTTAAATGCCAGTGACAGCGACAACAAAGCCCGCTTTGTGCTCTTTGGGAAGAACACCCGCGCATGCAAACTGGTCTTTGACACAGCCCCGATCAAGAAATTCCATGTCGCTGGGCAGGCGCCGAGGGATACACGGTTTCCTCCCGTTCCTGAAGGTGGCAGTCAAGAAATCAGGTTGTGGAGTCGCACATGGGGAAGAGCTTGGACCGTGGACGTGAATTGGGACAATCCCGCTCCCAGTCCGGAACAATCGAGGGATTCCGAGGGTTCCAAGAATTACAAAACCTCAACTGCCGAAAACACCATCTATGGCCGAGTGATATGTCTGTGGAGCGACGCGAATAAGAACGGTGTAATACCAGCCTTTGACGAGGCAATGCATTATGTCCCAGAGTGGGTGGCGATTACCAAGAGAGCGGATGGATTGGTGGAAGGATACAAAAATTTCAAGATTTGATCGAACAAAGTCTAAAAGGGAGTGATCTGCCCGACGCTTGTATTCGGGTGGGAAGGACTACCAGGTGCAGCAAGTGTGTGAGATTTGATCTGTCTGCATCTGTCTCCTGAATGCATTTTGCTGTTCTTTCATGACCGTTGGCTGGAGCGACACACTGCACCTTGAACACTTCACCTCATGGGGAGTTCGAATGGATCTTCTATTAGTTGTGTTGGGTGTTAAAGGGCGGGAGGCACAAAGGTGGCAGGAAGACATTTCTCGGAATTGCGGCATGTCAAAGCCAAAGCAGAAGCATGTCACTTCGTCCTCACCAATACCCCATGAGCCGTGGGTGCTTCGATTTGGTAAACGAAGTAACGTTATTCAGCAAAATGCGGGAAGCACTGTTATTCTGTCTGGCTCTCTGAAGTGGCTCTCCGGCTAATATGGCTGATACATATGTCTTGGCGGGGAAGTTCCAGAGGGCGTCCGTACGGCCTTTTGATGCAAATCAAAACTAATACATGTACACCGTACCATGGAGCCTTTTACAACAGCCCTTTTCGATTGGGGAAACTCGTCTCAAATCTATTGCTGAAGGGGAATGCAAAGAAAGCGCAAACCATCCATCCCAATGTCCGCTTCTGATCCCTGGCGAGTCCGCTTGCAGCTCGCAGCATTTCCGTCCGCCGAATTCGGACGTAAGCGGTGGCTTCGACTTTGGTAGTGGCCCATCATACTAGTACTTGTGCAATTCTCGAGCCTTCTTTCCCGGCGAGGTCTCTCCAAGGAGGAGGAGACCTCCAAGGCTGGCGGCGAGGGTTTTCCCTCTCACAGACGTGGCGTTCGAGGCCTGGAGGAACATCAAGTGACCAAGGCTTTCGCTCTTCTTCTGTATGGTCTTGAATACAATGAGAAAGTGTCCGTCAGGAAAGCAAGGGAAGGCCGTACGAGCAGTTGGGAGGTACTGCCATGGAAGCGGCCAGATGTCGATTCAGCTTGTAGATTGCCCAAAGTTGGACTCTGTTTGTCGGGTGGAAGACCATGCTGCCGATATGATTGCGAGCTTGACGGCTTGAAAGTTCAAGGACGTATGTGCATCGTACCGCCTGGTCGCCAAGGTGAGATTGTTCTGGGACAAAGACCGAAACGTCGTCGGCCTTGGGCTGGATGTACCGTTGAAAATACCATCGAACTGTCGCTTCGTTGAGTCTGACCAGTTTTCGCGAGACTGATGAAAGCTGGCTCCCCTCGACCGCTTCCTCTTACACATTCTGAAAGGCGTCGGTATCGGGCACTGTCACTACTGGTAAAAGCTCTGAAACCCTCTGATTGACGCACATTGGTCACCCAGTCGGGCACAAATTCTTCTACCCGCAGAGAACTTCTTGATCTTGATTCTTTTGATGTCTCAGGCTTGTTCAGGCATAAGGCTAGACTAGTGTCGGTTTTGCTCTCAGCTCGTATTGCGACCATCTCAGTGTCCTGCCATCCAAAGTTATCGCTTCTCAGTCGCTCCGCTCACGGCCAATATGATGCGTTGTTGTTCTAGGCTCTAGCAGTGTCTGGTGGTGTTTTCCGCTTAAAGAAAGACGAAGACGATCTTCTCTTAGACGTTCTGAGCTGCTGACCGTGACGCAAACCGGTTTCCGCTCTATTTTACGCTGAGAGTCCTTTGCAGCATGTGTTGAACCTCTTTGCTGTGGGAAGCTGTCAAACTGAGAAGTGTCCGGGCGGTTGATAGCATTTGTCTATCTTGCAAGATGTCTGCCCTTTCGGCAAGTTCCTTCCTTTTATATCGACATTTGGCCTGTGTTCGGAAAGCCATTCCTAAACGTTCCTGTCGCCGGTATCCACGTCGAGGTCCTCCTTCCGTAGATTTCGCTGGTGATCAAACTGCCTATCAAATTGGCCTGATACTCGTTCCGTCCCACGGGTATCAACGGTGTAGACCCGTTGGAAGGGGCGAATTTCGACGGTAAATTTTCATCCTTCTATGCTGCATCCCGTCACCCTTGTATTTCAACCAACCTCAATATCCTTATCGTGAAGAGACGGGATGCATGGATGAATGCTTGCGCACTTTTGTTTGTGCGGCCCGTGCAGGGATTGACGGCATGATGACCGAAGTGCGCAAGAAAGGTCAATGGGGGACCTTCTGCTTCGTTGGCAACTTGGAGAGCAGGCGTTATCCAAGAAGGTAAGATGTGACATGTTCCCGGCTAGACTCACTAGCCTCAGAGGTCGAATGGCTGGGATGGATGCGGCTATTGTAAGGCAGGCTGAACAACCATCAAAAGTTAGAGCGCAAAGTGGGATGCTAATGTTGTTGAACGCTCCTAGTTATTGCTGTCACTTTTCTGCCGTCTCTGGGTATGGACATCAATACTGTTCGCCTCGCGTTCAGAACAGACGCTGCTGCGCTTCGTCGAAAATGGGTCCTTCACAGGCTTCTCCATTTGTTGACCTCATTTGCGCTGGCCCATCTAGAGACGGGCGCAATCACCATGGTGATAAGGCGAAAGTCTTCGATGTTGTGATTTGTCGTTGCCATTTCTACCTCGAACGCCAGGCCACGTTGGGGGTGGCAGAAGCTGTGTAACTTTCTCCTTGTTCGCCTTAACTACTTCGAAATGCTTCCACGTTGTACCTCATCGGTGAAGTGATGACTTGGTCTTCTGTCTCGAACTCAATACCATGTTGTAACCCTTCTTTGTTCGTGGCTTGTCGCCATTCCAACTTCGGCTCTTCCTCGTCTGATGGCCGTTGCTGTCTTCCGCCCCAAGCGTGATAGCATCGATGATGATAAGCACGTGCTGAATTCTGTTGCTTGTTGTCTTCTCCGGGTTGGAGAGTTTGGCGAGTGTGAAGCCTGAAGATGACTGAAGATGGCTAGCTATATAAGTATCCAGTTAGGACAGCCTTGCCTTTAGCGGAGGCCGTTTTGGACATTCGAGGCGCGAAATGTGGACATCAAATCAGCATTCCAAATGAAAAGGTTGTCCAGACCGAGATAGGTTTCCACAAGGAATTGGATAGGGAGTTCTTGCCTCTTGTGTCCTTGTTTTTTTTAATGGTCTGCTTCAACGACTCAGGCAGGAGCCACTTCGAGGCCCCGAGGATGGATACATGAAAGCATCGAGTTCGGGCCACGAGTATTCTCCTCGTCAATGCCGCTTGAGGTGATGCCCGCTGGGGGGAAATATGTCAGTTAGTGATGTGGCACAGGCAGCATGACAGCTGGTCTGGAGGTATCCCGCTCGAGACATTTTGGACGCTTTGTATAAATAAGCCGACAAATATACAGTGATGACGGATAGTCGAGAACACCTGGTCCCTGGTAAACGCCCGACGGTCGGATTCACACCCAACTCAAGGGAGCCGATGGCTGGAACTGCCAATGAACGAATGCGTGGTAAAGAATGAGGCATTGGTATTTGGGTAGCAAGGAAGAGAGAATAATGTGGAGGAAGAAAGAATCCTCGGGGGAAGATGACGATGCAGCATTTATAGTCTGCGAATGGGGACCATGGCAAGAAGACATGGGATAGAGGCGGCTGAAGATCCTTGTGGCAGTGCGTCTCATCATTCCCTGGCACGGTTGGATTGTGGATGGAAAGATACGATACTTGAACAGTGATGAAGAACAGAACATACCAGATAATAGCGCCCACGATAGGACAAGCAGCATAGTTGAGCACGCCATGTGCAGAACCCTAGTCAAACACCAAGTTTTTGGTCAATGTAGGACTCCATCGCCTCCATCACTCCTTCTCATGCCCCTGAAGAGACTGATCCTGTTCCTGTTGTCACCGCTAGTGACACTCTTTGCAGATGCAGTCATGGTGCGCAAAGATGAAAGCCCCATTTACCTCGACAGGTCTCCTGCCACTTTCACTCTATTTTTCTATTCTTTCCTTCCGGCATCATCTTTCACCGTACCAACTATCTGCGTCTGAGGCTTTCGGCTTCCTTCGTCAGCTGTCGACCCCTCTCTGCAGTCATCTGTGCCCCTGTTGCTCTCCACCGATTTGAATCTTGCCCGTCCAAAACACGGAAATAGTCTGCTACAGGATCTTCTGTGCCGATGTACCGCCCTTGTCCGTGTTTTAGGTAGTGCTTGAAGTATTCTTTCCTCGTGACCTCGCGAATGTGGACGTTGACTTTTCCCGCCGAAAGGGAATTAGAATTTGACAGTTTGAGGCTGAAGATCCTCGAATGGCTCTCGACTTTGATTTCGATTTCAGAATCTTTGTCCAAGGCTCTCTGGTCGTCCAATCCATGTCTTCGCTGCAAGGTCTCGCCATTCACCACTGGCACCGTGATCAATACGTCGTCGGTGTGCTTACTAGGCTTGAGGACGGGACGGTAGATGGGACCTCCGTGAAAGCCGTAGGCGCTGGGATTGACGCCGTTTATGGAAGCGGCCACTGCATCCCATCCTCCTATCCTGAATATGAACCTTTTATGCGGTTTGTAAAATTCTGAGATCAATAAAGCAGGCGGATTATGGGAGAAGGCTGCTCTGGGTTCTAAAAGTGTAAATCAGAATGACAGTGCTCGGGCAAAACATAAATGATCGAAGCCTCAAACACTTCCCACAATTAATGGAGGAGAGGGACGATCGTCTGGATGAACTTGCCCCATGTTAGGGCAATGTTTTCCTCCTCTCGTGCCTCTCGAAGAGCCTTGGAATCCGTCTTGAGGTGACAAATGGTGGTGAACTCGGAACATTAATAATGTCTCCCAGATTTGCAACTGAAAAACCTTTTCAAACCGGGTGACGGGAGTCCCCACGACAGAGCATTCACATAGGAAGATAGATTGATCATCGAAATGGTTTCCTCAGATCGCGAAAATCCTCCTACTCTCGTTGCATCGCGGATGCCGAAAGCTGTGGCAATGCATGCACTGCACACCACGTTGTCGAAAGTAGGCATCAAGCCGCTCTGGCTAGTTCGCTATAAGTGTGCCTCGACTGAGGAAGGTGGAGGATTTGAAATTAACCTTTCCAATTTCACCCATTTTGTCGTAGTTTTGCTAGAGCGGCCGCAACGCCCGCGCTCAATTCTGGTTCTTCGCTAATCGGTGGCCGGGTGTGTCTGGCATTGTCAGCCTCTGCCTTTGCAGCTTCCACATCAGCAAGGGCAAGTAATGCCGCTTCTTCTTCTTCATCCAAGTTGTCCATGGTCACTTCTTCCAATCGAGGACGCTTATGGTTGGGACCCGTCTCGGTAGTCTTCTGGGCTGCGGAAGCAGCAGAAGCCGTCCCTTGTCTGCTAAAACTTGGGACAGTCCCAATGGGAATAGGTGTATGTGCGCTGCCCGGTCTGGATTCTGGAGTGCTCGCTCCATCAGAGAGCAAGGAAGTCTCTTGTCTCAGGAGTGCAGCATTGGATTTGGCCGCTCTCTTCACCCGGAACGGTTCACGGAGAGTAGAGTGCCAGGCCTTGACTTTCTTTTCGCCCCATCCTGGCACTAAAGCCAGTTCTTCTGGTTCCGCATTTACAGCTGCTCGAAGAGAGCCGAAATTCATGATCAGGCTGGCGGCGTCGGTCTTGTTGATATTCCGTGGCGTCGTAACAAACTCAGTCAAACTCTCCTGGTAGGTTTCTGCTTGGTGGGCTCGGATTGATGCAGACGAGGCGTGCTCATACGACTTGAAGAGTTCCAAATAGCGGCCCGCCTCTTGGGACGACCAGCAGAGGATCAAGGTCAGATTGTTGATCATCGAAGTCTTGGACAACTCTTTCAGAGCTTCCTCGTGATTGGTGATGTCGACCATGGTCAACAGGATCCGGAGGTTGTAGAGCTTTCCCAACTGGCGAATGCGGCTATAAATATACTCCGGGTGCAAACGATGGTATTTGAGAGACAGAAACAATGCGCATGTTGTTGCTCCAAGGACGTAGTCGCATGGTATGTCTGAGTATTCCCATGGAAGCTGTGTAACATGTTTGAGAATAGGGTTGCCCTTTTGTCGAGTTGATACTAGGATGGCCGACGGACCCTGTCTTCCCGGCAGCACTTGTGGCTTTGGCTGGACCACTCTTGCAGGTGTGTTTGTTGTAGCAGGACTCGCTGTTCGGTGTGGAGCGGATGGCCGTTCAACCGCTGCCTCTTCTGATAGGAAGTCGACGTTGTCGAATTCTTGAGCCATGATGTTGCCCTTTGCCTAGTCCTCAGAGGAGAATGGGAGATGCACCTATCGCCCTCTCAAACACCCAGACCATCGACCTGCTTTCTCTAAGTCGGTGCCTGTTAACTCGCGAAGCATTCTCTGTCTCTGGTGCCTCTGAGTGCCGCCTCAGAATCCACTGTCTGTAGAGCTAGAGCCAACTTGAACGAATGATTTAACTTCCTCTTCGATTCTGTACTTAAACGTAGATAATACGGCAGATCACGAACGCGGGGAACGAAAAGCGCAACTCCGCTTCGAGTTGGAGAAATTTTTTGGGCTGCGAAAAGTTCAATATTCCCACAACTCGAAAAAGGTGGCGAGTGCAAGCCGCAAGTCGACCATGGACCAGAGCAGCAAGAGACGCAAGCTCTCTAATGGCAGCTACGAATCTGTCGCTATTGAGGCTGACCACCCGAACCAGGAAACAAATGCCAGCTCCAAGGATCAAAGGCGGTCGCTCTTCGTCCGCTCTCTACCAGCCTCCGTGACAACAGAGCGACTCATAGAATACTTCTCGCAATCTTTTCCTCTCAAGCATGCCACGGTTGTGGTAGACTCTCAGACAAAGATTTCCCGAGGCTTTGGCTTCGTCACTTTTGCGGATGCGGAGGACGCGCAGGCTGCTGTTGCACAGTTCAACAATTCAGTCCTGGACGGGAGGAAGATTAAGGTTGAGCTGGCCGAGGCGAGACATCGAGATGCAGACCCTGGTGGAAAGAGCAGAGTCAATACCACGGCTGTACAACTTCGAGCACAGCGACAAAAGAACCAAACAGAGACCCAACCCCCGAAGTTGATTGTGAGAAATTTACCATGGAGCATCAAGACGTCGGAGGATCTCTCCATGTTATTCCGAAGTTATGGGAAGGTTAAGCATGCGGTTGTGCCAAAGAAGGGACCTAAAGAGCAGTACGGATTCGGAATTGTGGTGCTTAGGGGCAAAAAGAACGCTGAAAGGGCGCTTGCAGGAGTCAATGGTAAAGAGGTTGATGGGCGCACGCTAGCCGTTGACTGGGCCGTCGACAAGAAGACATGGGAAGAGCTGCAACATAGCAATCCAGAGAATGAACAACCAGCCCAGGACGACCGAACCGCAGACGAGCAGGACGAGAGCGACGCCAGAGCCGGCGGCTGCGTGGACGAGGGTACAAATTCCGACAAGGAGGCAGAAGTCGATGAAGATTTCAACCAAACTAGTGACCCGGTCGGAGATTCAGAACAAGAGTCACTTGACGAGCTCGATACTGAAAACGACGAAGAGGACATGGAGTCGGAAACAGAAAGCACGACATCCGGTCCCGAGGCTCACGGCAACAAAAATGATGCTTCTGTGTTCGTGAGAAATTTACCCTTCACCACTGATGACGACCTACTTCGACAACACTTTTCCGCTTTTGGTCCGATTCGATATGCAAGAGTTGTTTATGACCCAGAGACTGAGCGGTCTAAAGGCACAGGGTTTGTCTGCTTTTTCAACATCGATGACGCAAAAGCCTGCGTCAAGGGTGCCCCGAGGCACGAAATGCCATCCGAACCTGCAACCAATAATAAGAAGAGACGAGGAGAAAGTTTGAAGCATTCAATCCTCGAAAACGAAGCGGTGGACACGTCAGGCCGCTATACCCTCGAGGGTCGTGTTCTCCAAGTCTCTCGAGCTCTAAGCAGGGAAGACGCAGAACGCCGAGCAAGCGAAGCGAGTGCAAAAAGAGACATCAGAGATCGAGACAAACGACGCCTGTATCTGCTTTCGGAAGGTTCCATCCCGAGAGGATCAAAGCTTCACGAGCAGCTAGGCAAGGCAGAGATCGATCTGAGAGAGAGCAGTGCTCGCCAACGGCAGCGACTCATCAAAAGCAATCCGAACCTCTGTCTCAGTCTGACCCGACTAAGTGTCAGAAATCTTCCTCGGGGTATTGGCAGCAAGGAGCTGAAGGCATTGGCCCGTGAGGCCGTGGTTGGGTTCGCCAAGGACGTCAAGGCTGGCCTTCGACAGCCTCTGAGCAAGGAAGAGCTACGCAGAGGAGGTAGCGAGATGCAAGAAGCTGAGCGCAGACGCAAGTTGTCTGGCAAAGGGATCGTCAAGCAGGCAAAAGTCGTGTTTGAAGACAAAGAAGGAAGTAAAGTCAAGGAGGGGGCCGGTCGAAGTCGAGGCTACGGCTTCATTGAATATGTCAGTCATCGGAATGCTCTCGCCGGGCTGCGCTGGCTCAACGGGCACATGGTCAAGCCCGAGAACGCTGGTGCCGAGAGGGGGAAACGCCTGATTGTCGAGTTTGCCATTGAAAATGCCCAGGTTATCCAGCGGAGGAGTGAAAGAGAACGAAAGGCCAGAGAAGGTGGCAGGACCAAGGCAAAGGACAGCAAGCAAGATATGTCAGAGATTAGCGGCAAAGTCAGCAAGAAGCGGAAGCGCGGTGACAGGAATGAGGGTGCGTCGGCTTCAAAGGCCTCGAAAGGCCTGGAGCCGCTGGACCCGGAGGAGAAGAATCGCATTGCAAAAAGGAATCGAATCATCGCAAAAAAGCGTCAGGCCAGGAAAGCCCGAAAAGGGTGACGGCATTTGATGAACGGAATAGTTGCCAGCAGTCTGCAGTTTGAGCGTTGAGCGATGAGCAGCAGACACCAATCTGCTGCTGAAGGCGAGGGAGGGACTCTGTCTCCTTCTTTCCGGGGTATCTTCCTGAATGTCACAATAGATCCATCTCTCCTGCTGCCTGCCGCCATTCCTACCCCGTGTTCTGAGCTCCCTCGACCTAGAGGGATGGACAAACGCAGTCAGCACCTGTCTTGTAATTCGTCATATGCCTTGTTCCTGCCCTATGTGGTCCATTTGCATTCTTCTTTGAATGGCCGGGATACGTAGAGGGTGTTCAACAATTCCGAGCTCCTCCTCCTCCTCACAGTCTCTGTAGCTTGGGTGTACTGACCTTGCCCACAATGTTATACCGCTTGCTGAAGAAGGTGTACCATTCGTCAAGAACAGTCTTGTACTTGTCATCCAGATCATCCCATTCCGGTACGCAGTCTTCGGGTTTCAGGCTCGAGAGGGCCAGGGCACGAGAAGGGTCCTTTCCGGCAAAGACTGGCTCGAACGGGCACTGGTAAGCCTCGAAACGGTGGAAGCGGGACGCAAGAGAGTGAGGAACAAAGTGGTAGCCCATACCGTGATATTGGCCCTTCTCGCCATAGGCCTTGTTCTTGGAGACATCGAAGATAGTTCCCTTTATCGCAACCCACGTAGGCTTATCCGGATTTGTCCCTATCGCAAAGGCGCAGTCTCAGCAGGGCTGCCTCTCCCTCCCTCCCTCCCTCCCTCCCTCTCTCCCTTCATACAGAAGGGGTGTCTTCGGGCGGTTCCTTCAATTGGGTGCGGGGCGTACCATCGCATTTACTCAGCTCTTCCAACGAGATTTCGTCGTTCTTTGGCGGCGAAAGCTCGACCGGAACCTTGGGTTCGAATTTCTTGTTCTCTGAATAAGGGCTCGGTGAGGTTGGGTCAGTCATGATTGATGGGTTTTGGCAAACAAACCTCGACTCGTGTCGGTCACTGTGAAAGACGGGGAAGAATCAAACAAGAGTCAGTGTGCGGACTTTGGAGTCAAAAGGTATTAAGGTGAATCGTGCCACCCACCAAAGAGGTGCACTGCCCCTGTGACCTTCCGAGAGTGTGTGCAAGGGTGATTACATACTCTTCCCACAGCTTAGGAAAGCGGAACTCTTCAGACTGAATGTTTGACTTGATTGGGACTTGGGGTGTTGGATCGCAGGGTCCAGGGAGTGGTGGCAGCAAGTAGGCTAACGATGACGGCAATACGAGAGCAATGGGGTGACTGTTGCTTCGATCGCTCACTGAAGCGGGACGCAGGCAGGGCGACCAACTGCCCCTCGTCTGTTGCCCCTCAAGCCCAGTTGCCCCTCCATGGGAATTTGTTCCTCCGTCCCCCGCCGTCAATTCTCGCAAGTCAGTTCCGGATTTGACTTGCGAGAATGGTGGAATCATCGTCTCCCGTGGCCCAGCACTGGCTGACGACGCACTCCATCCATACCGAGGCTTTTGATGCTGCTGATCGCAAACCGCCCCAGCCACCGTCCGTTCCTCTTACCATGGGTATGCAGAAAAAGGGGGTTGTTGGCAAGGACTCGGTGCCCAGTATCCGACTCCACCTAGATCGGTTGCGGTTGCGTTTCACAGCGAGAACAGGCAGGATTGTGCAACAGGGAGGAGAATGTTCATACGTATGTACACTTTCGGGACTCTCCCTCTCTAGGCGCTGAACCCGTCCCTCTTCAATGGCTTCACCGGCGTCTCGACCATCAGGCTCATGAGTCGATGGGCCACCTCTCCAGCTGCAAGGACAGTGGTTTCTCCAGGATTATCATATATGGGAGCCACTTCCACCACATCAGCACCGACAATTTTCAGACCCTCAAGACCATCCAGGATGCTCAGGAGCTCTCGGGTTGTCCATCCACCCACTTCGGCCGTGCCTGTGGCTGGAGCATACGCTGGGTCCAACACGTCAATGTCGACGGAGACGTAGACATTCGTGTCGCCCACTCGAGCCTTGAGCTTTTCGATGATCCCCGAAACGCCAATTTTGTCGATGGCCCTGGCAGTTATAATCTCGAAACCACACCGTTTGTCGTTCTTCCAGTCATGGCTTTTGTTCATGACCGGGGCTCGGATTCCCGCGTGTGCCGAAGAATTGAGAATGAGGCCTTCCTCATGGGCAATATGGAGAAAAGTGCCATGATTGAGCCCGGCATAGTGGGATATCCCTCCTCCAAGGACTTTTGGATCTGCGCAGGAATCAAAAAGTCAGCATCGGATTCCCCCATCAATCTAAGCGAGGGGGAAATGAACGCTCTGGAAATTTTGGGAGTTTCGGATCCGAACCTACCCCAAGTATCTATGTGGCTGTCAAAATGTATGACACTGACCGGACCCCAGTGGTCAATGGTCGAGCGCAACGCCGCTAGGGTGGTTGTGTGGTCACCTCCCAGAGTTATGATCCGAGGGACATCGGCCACTTCTGTGGTGTTGGCGGTTCGCCCGGAAACCACTTTGTGCGCCTTTTCGAGTTGCTGCAAGGCTACGGTATTGTCCAGGAAAGTGAGAGGCGCGTCGCCACAATCTACTATGCGTGCCCAACCCAGGAATGTGTTTTCATGAGTATACGGATCCCATGCTGCCGCAGTTTGAATTCGTCGAGAACCCCTGTCCGCCTAAAGTCAGAACATCCACAAAACAAAAACGGGAAAATCTAGGATAGGGATCCCTCTTGCATGGACTTACCATCTGATTCCAGTGGGACCAAACCGCGCACCTGGTCGAGCGGTAGTGCCTGTGTCAAAAGGTGCCCCCAAAAAGGCAATATCATACTTGTCTATATTGTTGTCTGGCGATAAGCAATGAACCCAAGGAAGATTTGCAAAGGTGGTTAGTCCAGCGTATTTCTCGAACTCTACCAAAGGATCCTTGTCCGAGGCGACTGGCGATCGATATTGGCCTGCATGGCCTCCAAGATTTGCTTGTAGCGGTGACACCGGTGGGAAAACAATATCCCGGGCTAGCGGGGAAGCTGGAAGGAGGAAGAGTAGGAAGGTCCAAGAGCTCAACATGACTGCGACTGTCCTTGAGAGAGCTCCTGGATAGCTTGTAAGTATCTGCAAGGGGAGTTCGGCGACAAAGGTACAAAAAGTGAGAGCTGATTCAAATCTACCTAGGAATGCATCACTATCGCCGGATCAATTCCGAGTCGAGGATCGAGGTACCGAGTCCCCGGATCATAATACCCATTCAGGGGATTTCCAAGTAGCTGGCGTCCATCAGCAATATGGCTATTACGAAGCAGGAAGATCCTGTGAGAGCAAGATAAGCACGAGCACAGAAGGACGGAGCAGAGCGACGAAAAGCCGGGCCAAGAAATTACTAGCGGTGGTGGCGGGCGGGAGCCTCGGTGGGAGCTTGGAAGCGCCCTTTGGCTTAACTGGAGAGCTTGTCTAGGTCCCTCCCGCCTCTGCTGCCCCTACTGGCAGTCGGCTCCTTTAACTGACTCCGGGCTACTAGGCCCGCCCCCAAGCCAAACTACGCCCCTAACGCCTTGCCAAGAGGCCCGAAGCTCCCCCAAGGAGACCCAAGAGACCCAAGAATCGTCAGCCCAGACGCTTCCTTCAACTTCATCCACTCAACTCCATCTTTTATCGTTTCTTGTCCCTGCAATCGCCATTGCTACCTCATGGCATCTCTCCCCCAGCTCTCGCGACAAGTCATTTCCTTTCAGCTTACAGTAAAATGATCCACGGACTAAGCCCTTGCCGAGCCTCGAACTCCACAGGACCAAGATCTTGGTACCAAATGTCCAATGCGAGAACATATACTGTGCCGCGCGAGATGCTACCTGTGGAAGCGAACTGGGATCAGACCAGGGCTTCAAAATGATGGATTATGCTTTCTGGCGATGAGGTCGGCTACGCCGATCTCATATATTGTGCGATTTCCTTCCTGAGCTGTCCCAGACCACATTGACTGTTCTCCGTCTCTTTTTTTTTCGACTGTCAAGCTGTCTTTTCCTGACCCAAACCTCCCGCAATGTCTTCTGCGCACGACTACAGCTTCAGTGAGAAAGATGGCATGCCTCCTCACATGCTGGACGAAACCCCCATCGCCCGGGGCGTCCGTACCCACTCCGACAGTGATCGTAACCCTGACGAGGAGAACGCTGTGAGACGTGGTTCTACATCACGCAAGCATTCCGTCGTGGCATCCATCAAGGCTAACTATGGTCTTGCCGAAGCACCAGATTACCCTAGCAGCATCAAAGTGGGATATGATAGCACTCATCGAAAATTGAAGCCGAGACATATCCAACTCATAGGAATTGGTGGGACGATTGGCACGGCGCTGTACGTGCAGATCGGGAGAGGGTTGCTCAATGGTGGGCCTGGGAGCTTGTTTCTGGCTTTTACGATCTGGTGAGTCCGAGATCTGTGCATTTCTGTTCGTGTTCTCCCGGATTCCAAATTGGTTCGATCTGTCATTGGATGCAGAAGCAAATGAGCACTTTGATAAAGGTAAAGGGTTAGCGTCTGCAAAATGCCAGACACAGCTTATTGACGGCGATTCGCAATGAAATTTCGTTTCCAGGAGCACAAGATGTCACAAGATGAATGACACCCACATTCCAGTACAACGAATCAGTAATCATGGACTAACGCAAGATGCATGTTCATAGGTGTACATTCATCCTCTGCGTCACGAACTGTATGGCCGAGATGGTCACCTATCTCCCCATTTCCTCGCCCTTCATCCGCTTCGCAGGCCGCTATGTCGATGAAGCCTTTGGCGTTGCCGCGGGCTACAACTTCTTCGTCTTTGAAGCCATGTTGGTCCCTTTTGAGATCGTGGCGTGCAACGTCATCATCCACTTTTGGAGCGACATCGTGCCCGCCGGGGGGATCATCGCAATCGTGATCGTCTGCTATGCGCTGGTGAATCTGTTTGCCGTGCAATGGTACGGCGAGACGGAATTTTGGCTCGCGCTGGGCAAAGTCCTCCTGATTGTCGGGTTGATCATTTACACGTTCATTGCCATGCTGGGAGGAAATCCCCTGGGTGATCGATTTGGCTTTCGGTATTGGAACAACCCGGGCTCCTTCACGGAGCTCTACTACGGCGGCGCTCTAGGGAGATTTTTGGGATTCCTGCAGTGTCTGATCCAGGCTTCCTTCACCATCGCCGGACCGGACTACGTCTCGATGGCGGCTGGCGAGGCTGAGAATCCGCGCAAGGTGCTCCCCAAGGCCTTCAAGGCCGTCTTCTACCGGCTCACGGCCTTCTTCATGCTCGGCTCGCTCTGCGTCGGCATCCTCGTGCCGTACAATGACACAGAGCTCACCGAGGCCTTTTCGACGGGGAAGCCCGGCGCCGCGGCGTCTCCGTACGTCGTGTCCATGAACAGACTGCGCATCCAGGTCCTCCCGCACATCGTCAACGCCATGGTTCTCGGCAGCGCGTTCTCTGCCGGCAACAGCTACGTCTACTGCGCCAGTCGCAGCCTGTTTGGGCTAGCGCTCGAAGGGAAAGCGCCCCGGATCTTCACGCGCTGCACGAAGAACGGCGTGCCTGTGTACTGCGTGGCGCTCGTGCTGGCAATCAGTCTGCTGAGCTTCCTGCAAGTCAGCAACGATGCCGCCGTGGTGCTGAGTTGGTTCGTCAATCTGGTGAGTTTTGAATCCTAATCTGTTCTTTCCGGCGCCATCATCACCATCATCATCGTCAGCATCTTCATCCGTCCGTCTATCTACCTGACATTCTTCTCATTGGCCCTTCCGTCGAAGCAACAAGACTTATGAGTCACTGAACTAATTTTACCCAATGTATACGAACAGGTAACGGCATCACAACTGATAAACTTCTCTGTCATGGCCTTCACATTCCTCAAATTCAAGCGCGCTCTCGAGGCCCAGGGCATCGACCGGTCCACACTTCCCTACAAGTCGTGGTGGCAGCCCTTCTCGGCCTACTACGCGCTGACGGGATGCTTCATCATGACCTTTGTGGGCGGCTACACCGTGTTCCTCCCCGGGTTCTGGGATGTGCCCAGTTTTCTGTTTAGCTATACCATGATCGGCGTGTTTCCCGCCCTTTTCGTCTTCTGGAAGTGGTTCCGCAAGACGAAATGGCTTGCACCACATGAGGTCGACTTGCAACCCAAGGAAATGGATGAGATTGCAGAGTATGAGCGGAGTTATACACCGCGCCCGCCGAGGTGAGTTCTAAAGATGGCCTTTTGTATGCATGGGCTCGAACGAGAGCAAGTGGCTGTGTGTATCAGAGCAGTGCTAACCTCCGGATATTTAGGAATACGTTCATGAAATACTTTGACAAGCTCTTCAGCTAGGGTTCCCAGGCGTCTCGTTCTCGAACATATGATGAGGCTTGATGACATGACGACAAAAGGGGAGGCAAAAGTCAGAAAACAAAATGCTCTTCAGGTTGGATTTTGGTGAAGCTACCCAAAAAAAGAGGGGGGGGAACGAGATGTGGCATATGTAGCAACAATCCAAGATCCGGCATAAGCCATGGTGTGATGCTTTCACACCATCCCTCCCTCCCGAGCTCTCTGTCTGTCTTGCTCCCTCTGTATGTGGAGGCTGACGGGCACTGCTCGAATCCTCGACTGATCACTGTCGGACAGCCTACAACCCATCAGCTCTCGAATGCTGGTATCCATCCAGGCAAACATCCTTAATATCTACCAGCTCTGCCCCGATAAAGACAGGGCGGGGCCTTATAAGAGCCGGAAGAAGGAGTGAAACAGTCCAACTTGTCGACAATGGTAAATGGACATCGTAAAGGAACTCAAGTTCTCCTTTTTCTTTCCCGGAGGCCCATCTGGACTGAGTGCCCGTCGCCTTGTCTGCTTCGATCCTGCTGTTGCGTAAAGATTCCAGCAGTTGCAAAATAGCTTCTTTACCAGCTTTCTTCACAATATTGTGATTTCGGGGAGGGGGGAAGAGATCACAGGCGAAACTGGTTCCCAATTGAATTGTGCTGATGATATCTTGAAGTTTCATGAATGCCACTTTCCACCCTCACCATAGAGCAGAGGCATATTCACATCAAAGATACCTACTGATGAATACGCACGATCTTCAAACTTTGTAGTCTGCCCTCAAGAAGCCCATGGCATTCTCTGCGCCACACCAGTGCATCTGAGATGTCCACCCTCGAGACAATCTTTCGGTATGCGTTTTATAGTGGCCAAAATCTTGCTGATACTCCACTCGGTCCCGATTTCGTTGCCACTTCCGGTCCTGGAAGATGACAGTCGTAGGGGCTAGCAGTTCTTGGAGAGTCCAAGTCCGCTTGAGCCATCTGCTGTCGAAAAGGCCAGACATATTTCCGACGAGGATAAATTTAGATGTAAAGCACTATCGACAAGATTTGACCGCAGTAGTCAATTTGTGGTCGGAAAGATAGACATGGCATAGTTCCGCCTCTCAATACCAGCGGTATATGGAATTGACGGCTTCAGACAGCTCTTGCGCTGCTCCCTTTGTCATTGTGAACGCTGTCACCATCCTCGCAGAGTTCTTCAAAGGGCCTCGGGACGAATAAGATGAGCTTCGAGTGCCATATGACCGGGTTTCACCTCAGCTTCGTCCCAGCCTGAGGTGCCCATGCTGACCGCCCGTCTGCTCAGCCATGCTCAGGTCCATTTTCGGTCCCGCTGCACTTGTTAGATACTCATGCCTTGACGCGTGTACATCTCTTCCTCGATGAATATAGCCACTTCGCGCCGCGGTCTACGAGGGACCAGTTCAAACGTCTGAAATTCTGTGTGAGAGAGAGAGAGAACCGACAAGGTCGTGGTGAGATAGGCGCTGCCTTGCGTGTGGAACCTTGCGGCTGATATCTTGTGAAAGCGGCACGATGGGCTGAATCATCACGCCTGCCGCTAACTGATCCCATTGATGTTAATGCTAGTATCTGCCTCTGCTCAGGGGGAGATGTCATTACCGTTATTCCAACTTGACAGGAATTCTTTAGGATATTATGCCCACCACAACACAATCTGATACATGAGGGAGGAAATTTGACCATTTCACAGTCGCGTAAGCGGCTAGTGGCAAAGTGCAGAGGCTGATGAATGCTTCCACAAAAATATATAGTCGTGCTAGCCCATATGACCCGATCCAGGTGGCTTCTATTGAAGCCACATCGGTAAACGGAACAAAAGCTCTAGAACAGTATTCGCCTCAGAAACGCCAAACAGGCAACAAGCCGTACCCATGTCGGCAAAAAATGCATGTCTGAGTGACCATTGCGGGTGACCGATCTGCGAGAGATCCGAGACGGATTGAGAGGCTGAAATCCATCGAAGTTGCGCGAATGCTGCTAAAACCTCGGGCAGGAAAATGGTAAAGGCGACCCATGAGAGCTTGGTCAGAAGGAAGTGCCTCGGCCCTGGTTCGCGAGGAATATTCAGGAACAAGACCGACCAGCTGCACAAAAAGATAGTGACAACACAGCTCTTTAGAATATCGATTGCGCCTCACCCATCGGGTGAGTTGACCCAGCCGTGGGCCAACTGGGTCGTTGCCTTCATGGTTGTCGAACCGCAGAGGGGGTTTTGAATTTGCCCAACAGTGACTTTAGCCGTGCGGCGAAGATTAATCGATTTTCCCAAAATGGATTGCAGAGGAAGGAAGGTCGAGCAGTTGTACACCAAGGCAAGCGAAAGGCTGTGCTGGTATCAGCAGAAGAGATGCATTTAAACCGGTCGTCGGGGGGAAAGTCGGCTGCGGCACGGTCACTCCCTAGTTGCCTAGCCAAAGTAGCGAGCAGTTTGCTCCAGCAGCAATTCCCCACTGGTGTTGCCTTCTTCGACCTTGATGCGGCGCGTGGGTCTGAGACAGCTAACTCCCTGTCCTGCCTCGAGACACACTTGCAAGGGCCGCGGCGTAATTCGCTGCTGTGCCGACCTCAACCGCCTTGTCAACGTATCTGGACTGCTTGTTGTGCTTATGCGGACCCAACTTCGAAACCGACAAAGAGTCAAAGGCACCAGTCCGAAACTTGACGTGGCGAGGGCGTCTGGTGGTGTGTTGGTGTGTGGGCAGGCAGAGGTTGTGCTGTGGCTGCAAACTGACCAGTGACAGAGGCATCCAAACACAGTCCGCGGGACGTTGTCGAAAAGGCACAGCCGCCAGGTACTTAGGACGGACTATGATCGGCTTTTAGATGGCCATGCAAATCTCCCGGACGGCTTGAACGAAGAAGACGACGAGGTCGTAGACCGCCAAATCATCGGTATGACGCCCTCGGCAAGGCGTTAAACTGCCCCTTTCCCCCTAAGACATGGCGACAGAACAGTGTCTTTGACTGGGATATAGGTGTCTAACATGTATCTGCCATGGTTCCCCTCGGCTTTAGACAACGATCTCGTCCAGAACCCTCACGACAAGCGAGTTGAATCCCTGCCGTATCTCCATGCTCATACCGGCACTCGTTTCACGATGAGCCCAGTGAACCCCATATGAGTCTTTGTCCTCGACGCAGGTTTTGACAGCCGCCTGCGAATCTGGCACCTGCCTCTGCTCTGACACCCGCAAGCAAAGCAGGCTCATTGTCGAGGAGCCTTGTTCTGAGTGCGCTCGTGGACAGCGGAAAGCATTCGACATCGTTTTCGATTCCCATGATTGAAACAATGAGTTTCCAACAGGCTATTTCTATAAGCACAATGCCCAGGCCGTAGATGTCAAATGTCTTGCGATAAAACAATAGAGGTCGATTAGACTGGGCATCTGCATGTAGATACGCCTTTATACTTCCAATACTTCCGTACCTTGGCTTAGACAAAGATCACTCATCCCAACGCTCCCTCCCAGAGAAGTCGAAGCCGGCAAGGTAGGGTTCACCTATCTGCAGAATGTTGTCGTCCGCCTGGAAAAGAAGGATCGCCTCGCGTCGGAAGGCTTTGTGCAGCCAATTGACGGAATGCAAGTATAACAAGCACTTGGCGATGCTCTGCGAGAATGCTCCTCGTTGTGACAGCGACGGGCGAGGTAGTTACTTCAAAGCCTAAAGCAAGTTGATTGGCCGTGTAGTAGAACTGATCTGTTGAGGCCTTGGGAAGACAACAGCGATCTTAGCTTGCCGGCCCTGGTTTTCAGGTAGAATACAATACCCGAGACAAGGTGGTATGCGAAACTCGTCCGGCTTTGTTGCTTTTCGCAAGACCGTCAGTTCCTCGATGGGCGAGAGTCGTGAAGCACTCGTATAGATGTCTCGCGGCTGTTGAGAGTGCCAAGTCAGCCAGACCTCCTTTGACGGTCGACTAGAATCAACAAGTTCGGCGAGTTCGAGCCCGTGCTCTAAAGACGGCGGGTGTGGTAGTCGAATCTGCGAAGCCGGGATTAAAAGAGAGGCCCTGTTGTGCAATGCTTCGTCAAGCAATGATGTATGCAGAGGTTTGAAAGACGCTAGGTCTCCCAATTCTGCGTCTTGTATATGTTGCCATTGTTTTCGTGTGGCAGACTGTTATCGTGATGAGTATGCAGCTTCTGCAAGCGTTTTTAGATCGTTGATGGAATCCCTTATTTGGATTAACTCCATGTAAGTTTGTCTTTGCTCATCTCTCAGCACGTGGATTTGGGTCCTCGTCCCACAGGCCCTGCAGACTGTCATTGAGATGTCGAAGTCTGCTGAGCCATTGAATAAGTTAGTCCTTCTCTGACAGCGTCCATTTCAATCTGAGCTTCAAACAATCCGCAGGAGCCTGGTCGAGAGTGGAATGTAGAAGCTACAGTATCACGGTACGCAAGGCTTCATGCAAAGCGGCAGGAGTAGCCGTGTTCTCAGGCGGAATCCCAGGCTCAACCTCCTCGCCAGCAAATCTGTTGAGCATGGCATTGACTTCGAAGAGAATCGCCAAAATTAATGGTGCTCTTGCACAGATTGTCCGAGGTAGACCGTTCTCGTCGTTCGTCAGGCCTGCTGCAGCGGTGAAACTCCTCCATCTGTTATGCTCCATCTGGAGTTGCACGGACCAAAAAAGGAGATCATCCGGCGTCGCCTTCGCCGTCTTCGCCAGTATGTAGCCTAAGAAGACGAGGTAAGCACTATCGTCGGAACATGCTGATGATATGTTTGCGGACCTTTGTAACGTTGGTTTAGGGCTTGAATCACGCATGACAACCCACCAAGGACGACCCCCCGTCGATTGGCACCTTGTGTGCAACGATCTGCCACGCGAGTCGACTATTCCCGTGCAGCACGGTTTATATCTGTTCATATCACACTCGAGAATTATGTAATTGGCAATTGGCCTTCTAGACTTTTCTGCGCAACATATAGGTTGGCAATAAATGGCAATAGAGTACGCTAGAAACAGTATAACCTGAATACATCGAAAAGAATTGATTTCGTTCCACTTTGTCATGTTCTCCATTTAGCGAACGTGCCCCAAAGACATATTCATATTTACTGTGAGCAAAGTGAGGCTGGTGAGGCTCTCTGGTGGAAGTTCAGAAGCCGGTCTTTATCATCGGATTAGTACTAACGAACGGCCCTGTTTGCCCCGTCTACCATAGTCCTAGCTCTACACACACGCAACATGCATTGCGCAATCAAGCCATGCTAGGTCTCTCCCAACTCGTCCTTCATAGTACCCGTTGCGCGTATCTCGTGCGTAACAGCTCAGGATGAATGTCTCAAAATAAGTTTACGGGCGAACTATACGACGTTAGGACGAGTGACGGGTCTCTTCAGGCAATCCAGAGGGCGATATGATATCTACCCTTCGATTCGCTAACCCCCTAACACTCGATATAGCTGCTAGTCTCTACCACAGGTCTACTGTACGTGCAAACGAGCACAGATCACAAGTCCATTTCAGAGCCCAAGAGGGCGCATCATTTTCTAGCTTACAGGTTGAAATTACAAGACCAACGTACACCGCCACGCGCCCCTAGATAACTCTATGCTACAGACTACTCACGACAATTACCTTCAGCCATAATTTTAATTTACTATCCAGTTCCAGGGCATGAGATAAACGTCAAGACAGTCGGCGTTCCAACTAAGACGCACGAGAAGAATGATGATACAGTTTTGCAAACGACAATAAAAGCCATGCAAGGAGAAGCGCTCCAACCACTACCAAAACCAGAAAAGATTTAGATCAGTTAAAGAGAGCCAATCTTAAGGAAAGCACGCCTAGAAGTCCAAGATTAACAGGCTCACTAGAGGAAGCAGTGTCTAAGGGTGTTTCGCACCAAGATGAGAATATCCTTCAGTCTCAAGTATTACAGCATCCGCTTTCAAGGCGATCGTAGTACCAGAACAGAAATCCCAAATTCCATGTCTTAGCACCGACCGTTCCACTACGAGCTCGGGCGTTATTCATCCAAGTAATAAAGACATTCATGAACAAATCCGAATCCGAGGACTTGAGAGGGAACCGGGGGGGAAGTATTGCTACGGAAGCCTCCAAGGCCTCCGAAGCCAGTACACCTCTCGTCGCAGTAGCCAAATGCACCATCATGCAATGCCATTAAACCCACTATCCCGGAAATCGATAAGAAGACATTTGACGAAATTTCCGATCAATTGCGCAAAGCCGGTCAAGAGGAATGGTTCCTTCGGCCACGGTCTTATAAAGTGCTCTCAATGATGAATGCGACGCATCTGATGGAAGACTTTGTTAAAGCGGATCTCTGGGACATAGCGTTACCTTATCAGCGCAATTTCCTACCCCCAACTCTCTCGCCTGAGCAAAAGGAGGCTTTCCTTGCGAAGCAGCACGCCGTCTTATCCAAAGAAGCCAACGGCATTGAAGGCGGGCCAAAGATGCCACATGCCAATCTTGCTACGTCAGCAGACGCATACCTCGAGGTCCTCGCACATCTCGATAGTGGTGGACATGGCATCGTCGGCAAGATAAAAGTGAAAGTGTCCAAAAAAGTCTATGCTCGCAAAACGCTTCAGCTGTCCGATATTGGCCTGGAACCGTCAGCGTTGAAGAATTTCAACGACGAAATCCAATTATTGAAGAGACCGAGTTATCATCACCGCGTCCGTTACGTCGGTTCTTACACTGATCCGAAACGGGTGAGATTTCTCATGACACCGGTAGTTGACTGCGACCCCCGGGGCCATTCTCAGCCTTCCCGTGTCCACAGTCAACGACTTGAAGTGTATCCGAGAAGCTTTTGGTTGTCTGTGTGCAGCTGTCCTCTATTCTTCAGGAACAACGCTGTCACCACAAGGATATCAAGCCGGGCAACATTCTTGTAAAGGCTGGCAAAGTATTCATTACTGACTTTGGAATTGCGAATGACTGGAGTGACAAAACAAGAAGTACTGCTACGGGTCAGATTCTTTCGTTCTCGCTTCCGTACGCCGCACCACAGGTGCTCGACTTCAAACCAAGAAATACTGCGTCCGACATGTGGTCTCTAGGTTGCGTTTATCTTGATATGGTGGTAGACTCTCTTCCAATGTTCCGATAGAATCACTCTGACTGTGATATAGGCTGTGTTGAATGGAGAAGGCCTTGAAACTCGAAATCAATTCTTTGAAGTCACTGGCACTGGCGCCCCCAGTCCTACAAACCAGGAAGCATACAAACAGTGGGTGAAACAGCTAAAAGCAAGCAGCGATGAGAAACCACTAGAATAGACAAATGGCCTTCTCCGGACACACCCTAAGTCGAGGATCGGCGCCCACGCCCTCAGGGAGTATATATTGGAATGCGATGATGAAGAGAAATACTATGGAGACTGCTGTGATCCTGAAGGGGCGCATGCGACAGCCCAGACTTCAAGCGCGGAGGGGTCGAGTGACACAGGAAAGTAACAACGCTGGATTGTCGTATCCTCTCAGCTAACGTAGAAGACAGATTGTTCAGGCAAGGCTGGACACGAAAAGACGCTTGACGCAAAGACTCTCGACAGACGGCTGAGCGGAAGGAGCCAAGAACGGTGATATGACAGTCGAGAAGCGATGGCTCCGCAAGATTGTGCGTGCTGCTGAAAGAGATCAGCGACCCTTGCGGACATTCCAGACACACGCTTTCCACGGAGCGGCGTTTGCTGGGCATGTAGATGTAACGAGGGAATTGTGTCGGTCGGGATTGTATTCGAATTGGACGTTTCCTTCCTGGCATGTCAATCAGCTCTGGATGTGGCGATCCACCACGGGCACGGAGATCGTTGCTCAGCTTCTCGTGAATTGTAGACGCAGGTATCGGAAAGACGGTATGGACCTCGCAAAGAATCTTGAGTGTGCCGCCGCAGGGGTATGGTTCTACTCTCACGGACACTGCTCAACAATGGTGCTCCGATCAATACAGCTTCAGTCGATGTTGGGGCCGCCTCTTTTGAGGCAGCAATGTGGTGGAATTGGCCCGCCGTGATCCAACTCCTTATTGAACATGGAGCAGAGGTCGTCATAGATTAAAACACTGGATGGAAGACTTTGAACTGGGCGATACAACGTAAGCTTCCTCCTATGGTGACCCTCTTGCTGGATCATCTGCGTGAAGTCGACTGTCAACACAAAGACACGGCATACCAAGTTGGCCTGTGCCGGGACGTCGTACACGACATGCCGGTGGCGGCCGAGCTGCTGATATCAAGAAGTCTTATTAATGTGAACTGGACCGCCCCAACGAACGGCGAAACAGCCTCCTGCACCAAGCCGTCGGCAACCGCAGAGTTGACGTCGTCAAGATTCTCCTCCAGAATAAAGCCGATCCACACGCAAGATCGCTTCGGCAAAACGCCATTGCTACTGGCAGTACCGATTCGTGACCAGAAGATGGTGGCCTTGTTGCCCAAGTCTGGAGCTGACGCCAACCTCAAGGCAGGAAACTTGTCGAATCCTTTCCTGCAAGCACTGCAATTGGGAGACACTCAAATCGCACAGGTGCTTGTCGACCACGGAGCGCAGGTCAACGCCTTGAACCAAGATGGCCTGAAACCTGTGTATGTAGCTGCAGAGGTAGGTGATGTCGCCATGCTGGGATTTCTTCTTGATAGAGGAGCCGACATCGATGCTCCCCCCGAATCTGGCATTTGGACGCCCTTGATGGCTGCTGCCAATTGGAGTCAGATGGTGACTTTGCACGAGCTCCTCAATCATGGAGCCGACCATGGCATAGAAAGTCCTTTGAATGGTCTCACGGCTTTGCACTTTCCGGCAACTCAAGGTCCTCCCGAAGCTGTAGGCTTGTTTTTGGCCTACGGCGCATTTCAGAAAAGGAGTCGGCACGGATTCCCGGTCGACATGGCAATTCAATGTCGACAATATGAATCTGCCGATCTTCTGTATGAGTATGGCATGACTGAACCTCCACCAGGCGCCCCCTTCACGGAAAGACTGTGGCGGGCTTATTGTGAACCAACTCTGTGTCCTCCCATCACGGAAGTTCCGCCAAAAGATGTATGTCCCTGGCATCCTGACATACTGTTCGAGCCTGTGGACAGACCGGGAGTCCGACACGGTACTACCCTGTCAAGTCCGCTGCTTCTCCAGCATCTACAGTCTCTTCCAGCCCGTATCCACCAATGGATACTGCATTCAGTTCATCCCTGCGCCGAAGGATACCACCTCATACTCCGGCCGCAACACACCACATTACGGATCAGTACAACCATCGTACTAAGTCGTTTACTCCCTCTAAAGCATCTGCCAGCTCCCATCTGCTCATGATGCCTGCGACCGGCCCCTCTCCACAATCGAGAAAAGGCCCATACGTGTCTTACCTCGCACCGTCAACAGCGCAACCGTACGAATATCAGCACAGGACGCCTTCAACGTCGGCCATCTTTCCAGGGCTCGAGTTGCAAGCTGCCGGAGTCGAGCGTGCCCCGGACTCGCTAATATGCCAAGGTCAGCAGCGCAGAGTATCACAACATAGAAGATCTCGCCGCCGGAACGAGGCTCGCGACAACGCCAGCACACAAGGTCATCGTGACACCGACAATGATCCATGACGACTTCTAGAAAGTCGAGCCTACGATTAGTTGTCTCAACTCGATCGAAGTAAAGAGAACCCTGTAGAGAGAACTAGGAGGACCGCCGACAGAGTGACGAGTCGCACTTCAAGACTGCCAAACAACCCCGAGACGCAGCTCGTTCGTAAGTTCGTCTTGGTTGTCACGCGAATCACACAGGGGCCATGTAGTAGCGGTCGTCCGTAGACCGAAGTGGATGTGGCGGCTGCCGCCTGGCTTTCGAAGCGAGCAAGTTGCGTCCTGGCGCAGATTGACCAGTAACAGATGCGGGTTGTTCGAAGAAGACCTTATGAACAGCAATTGGGTGCTCCGTACCTCGTACACAGGAAGGACTATGATAGGCTTCTCGATAGCGGTTCGAATCTGCGGAGAGGCTTCGAGGAAGACAACGGAGTGGTAGCCCGCCAAAACATGTGCAGCAACGGTAACTCCCTCGGGCCTCCACAGAACGCCTTGGCTGAGAATCCTCGATATTGGTAGCGATTTGTACAAAGTTATCAATCATCATCATGTCGTTCAAACCGACACGGGACAGGCCGAGTAAAGTATACTCATGCGGTCCGTCTGGTCTGGCTCGAGATATATGAAATTTACCTGCCTGTCTCTAATGAGACCCATCAAAGCCAGCTCTGACCAAGTCCAAACTCTGAAAGACTGAGGATTTTCAGACCTCCTAGAAGATAATCTGGTCTCAAATCAAAACGATCTTGATGTAGCTATCGTCAAGCTGATTCTGGCGGGAATGGTGCGTTGGCCGAGTGCGCAGCAAGGTCCGTTTCTTGGTCGATCCTTTCGGGAAGTGCCCGTCTGTTTCTGCAGATATTTTCCATCGATTGGATTTTATCTCCCCAGAAGGTCGAGGACGAAGTTATCTTTCATCGTGTGCAGTTCAGTGCAATAGGGCGGGGGACCTTTGGCCAGGGCTGGACAAGCATTCTGGTCGCTTATCTGGATGTCCTGTTAGAGACTTCGTTTGAGCGAGAACGCTAATTATCCCGCCATGGTAAAGATGCCTCGTTGAAGATGATGTTGTCTGGTGGGCAAATAAGGTTCATTTCGAGGGGTTTCGTTGATGAACTCGGCCTGGGAGACGAAATTTGGACCGCCAATCCTAAGTCCCGACTATCCAAGATATGTCTAGCTCGGCGCAGGGTGGTGGGATACCTGTTTAGGAAGTCGGGTCCATTGTTCGGCTTCGTGCGGTGCCCTGGCAGGCATATCGGAGGATTCGTTCCTTGCTGACCCCGATTGTCCGTCTTATCAACTGTGAGACGCGATGTAAGACGTCCAGACGTCCAGAAAGCGTGGACAGTATGATCCCCTGGCCCGCGGAGCCCTCAAAAATTCCGTTTCCAGAAGAATCTTGCAGGCGGCTCAAACATCCTCATACACCGCCCTACTCTTCCTTCGCCCGCCACCAAGCCAAGCTCCCGGTGGAGGTTGCAGCAGCCCGTCCACCTCTTCGACAATCTGGTCTCTCCTCTGTTCAGCAGCGAGTCTCTCTTCTTGCTCTTTCTCTGACTCTACTCTCCCTTTAGCCTCCACGGCAGCCGCATAGTTGCCTGCGCCCCCCCTTCCAGCATTTCCAACAGGATATGGATTTTGACTCTTTGGGCTAGGAGGCTTCCCCGGCATAGAAGACGTAAAGCTTGCTGGTAAACTCGGGCTCCGTTGGAGGGGTTTCATATCGTTGAGAACATAGTTTCCAGCTCCACCGCGGCCGGCGGACAGGTACTGAGCAGAGTTCTGGCGCAGGGGCCTCGGATCTTGGGTATTGATGCTTTCCAGCCTGGCTGCTGCTTTACGACGCTCCGATAACGAGGAATGTGGCGGTCGATTTGCTTCGAGGTCGACAGGCGAAGTTGATCGCGGGGCAAGCTGGACCTCTGTGTGCCAGTTGAAGTTCCCAGCGCCCCCGCGACCAGTCTTGACGTAGGGACCGTAGGCAGAGGACATGGAGATGGAGGACACGGATGATTCGCCATCCTCGTGGGAAGGGTATTCCGAGATGGAATTGGATTCTTCGTGATGGCGAAAGGAGGTATCACTAGCCATTGGCGACACAGAGGAGGCGTAGGAATCGAGCAACCATGACGCCCATGACTGCGTGGCAGCAGCCCAGGACTGCGTCGTCGAGGTCATTGTTGCTCGAGAAGAGGTGCCACCCTAATGTCTCTTTCTTGTATGAGCAATGACGCAGCGACGGCCGCAACTGCGACTGTGAAGGATTTGGATCCCGGGCGAAAAATGTGGGGGGTTTTTCTTTTTTTGGCTTCCCTCCTCGGTCCTAATCGCACTCGGTTGCTTCAAGCACTCTGCGGTCTGAGAGCCCAACTTCTCAAAATATACATACTGACTATTTGTTCACACAAAGAACAAGCACAATGGTGTAGACAACAAGGGGGAGGTCAACCCGGGAAATAGATTGTGACCAGCACCCGAGTTTTCGTATTAGAAGGCTATTACAAGTCCAAGGTCCGTGGCGCCGGAGCGGAAAAAAAGGGGAGAAGAGGCATCCATGAAGCTAGTGACGGCTTGATTGGAAGATCCGAAAACGGCCGTGGCGAGATGATAGTATCGAGCAGCCACAAGCAAGGGGCGAGGGAGGAAAAGATTACTTGGCTATGCCATTCACAGCCTCAGGTCAAAGTCCGACCACAAATCAACCGTCAGGGCAACTAGAGAGAAACCATGGCAGGACGCATTGAGGCAACGGTAGAGTAGGCGTCGGACTCGTCTTCCAATAAGCGGAAAGAGAACGTCGGGCACAGACAAACAAGCCCCTTCAGCCTCGCGCCAGCGGGAAGCAAATGAAAAGGAGATACACAGGCGGGCTTTGGCCGAGTTTGTGGACGAATGCATGACTTCACCCGAGCCCCGATGTGCTGGTTTAGTCTTGTTCTCTTCATTTGACAAGCCTCGCCCACGCCGTGTTCCACGTGGCCGATGCATTGACTGTTTCCAGGGCCGGCGTCTCAAGCACATTTCAAAGAACACTGTGCATACCCTCAGATGGTCCCAATCCAAAGTCAAAGCCAGAGACACAACATGTCAGGGAGGACATTCTTTCGGCTGACGACTCCTTCTTGCCAACTGCAGCGTGGGGCAGGGCCGGCAGTCAAACGAACTCCTCTCGACGTACCGTCTTCCCCTCTCGTAGGTAGTATTCGGTCAACCCAGCTGCGAGGTGAACTAGTCTGGGAGGCTAGGCAGATGCACGGACTGCTTTCATTTGCTGCCCAGTGAGCGGCCACCTGTCAACTGGCTATCATAACATGGGGGACATTTGGAATGCTCCTCGCGTGTCTTCTGCTCCTGGCTCGGTTTGCGTCTGGGTTTGTGCGCGAACTCCAAGACCCAACAGGATACATGGTTGCCATAAGGAGACCTTTGCTGAGATTAGGGGTTGATGCGGGTAAGCGTCGTTATCAGCCATGGATAAGACGGATAACTTAGAGCCTCGAGACTCTACTTAATTTGTACTCGGGATATTCGCCGATTTCGGACCTATGGATGCATAGTGGAATGACCGCCGCCATGTGTAATGTGTAACATTTTCATTGATGAGCCTGAGCAGCTCCTCATCACGTCGTTTTTCCGCAAATGCTGTATCCTCAAAAAGGTCATCCAGCCAACCCTCCAAACTCGGGTCTCGGTTGACCTCGACGGCAACTAGATTGAAAGCTGGGGGAAGCTAGCCTCATAACCAGGCTCAGCCGAGGCTCCGTCGAAACCCCGCCAAATAGCGTCATCTCGGTACTGTGTGTACTGTACAAATAGGTAGTTGCCTCTGTCGCTCTGCTTGACTTGGGGGGGCGAATACCAACAGCCGGGAGGGGAGGCCATTCTGATTGTCATTCCCGGGGGCCGGGAACGTCGGTTTTGACGGAACTCGTATTACTCGGGTACCACAATCAATCCTTAGTCTGCGTGCCAAAGCGCCCACACACATAATTCGGAGAATCGGTGTCAGTCAGGATGATCTTTTGGTCTGTCTCATAGCTTGCAACCTGCTGAATTGTCCGATTGGGGACATGCTGAGGGATCAGCACTTTGATTGCTCGACAGGCTTCGGTGCCACGCGGATGGGCATTGACCACTAAGCTGCGTTCTCATTTGTCCGAGTACAAGTATTCCGGGCAACAAAACCCTCCCAAAGATTTTGTATCAAGTATACAGGACTCCAAACAAGATGGGTTCTGCGTAGAGACGTTCGACCGATAGAAGACTAACTCGTTTGGCCGCTCATAGTTCCCGTGTCCGTGCCGTTTAAAGATCATCTCCATGATGACGCAACTGACCTGACCAGTGACGCTGCTGACCTCCTGGATCAAGAAATGTTATACTTGACAAAAAGGGCTACGGGACGAAGCCGTATCTTGCGCAAGGCATGCATTTTCAAACCACAACTCCCCAGCCGATGACGGCATCCAGGGTTCGAATGGTGCGTGATTTTTGGTTGCCCTTGCACCACTGGCATCAGACGACTTCGCCTGACGGCTCGCAAGTCGACCAAGCAACAAGCCTGTTAGAGCGAGTGTCTGGCACCTGCTTGTTCTGCACCAGTTCGCATGGCCGTTTGGGAGTTTTGGGTATGGCTGCTTGGGCCTCGATCTTATCGCTGGTTCGACAATTCAATATCTCGGCTCCCCACAAGTCCCCTAAGAAGCCATGGTGCCTTGCCGGTGTAGTGCCTATTGTTTGCTAGTTGCTGTCCTCGTTCTTCAGTTATCAGGCCCAATGAGACGCCTTGTCGCCAACCTACACCATGGCTCTACCGGCGGCTCCAATCAGCAATTCTCTTCAGGCCGTGAAGCGGGCATGTTGATTCGCGGAGTCGCAGCTACAAAGACAGTCGTGTCTGGAGCGGATACCGAGAAGCACTCACAACTGCCTGGTGGCATCCATCGTTGGTTTTTTTTTTTTTTTTCTGAACACCATGCAGCGCAAGTATCCAGATGATTCCTGACAGAGACTCT